AAGAGTGAAACTCAAAGGAAACACATGAGCAGAAACGTAAGCTTGCTGGCAACCACATTGGTCTACTGGTGAGTGAAAGAGGGGGAGAGGCAGCAATGAAGAAATGGGCTGAGTTCAACCATGGTCCATAAATGCCTGTTGACCTGGAGATAAGAGAGAGAAGAGTAAGGGCTGATTGGTCCAAAGTGTGGTGAGACCTAAGGACACCTGAACCCATGGACAAGGACATAGCCACAGAGGACTAGAGCTGAGAGTGAAGCATCCAGCTGATATGAAGTAAGGGGAGCGACACAAGAACACTCAAACTTGCAGATAGTACCCATTTGCACTATCCTCAATGAACTCAACTAGAGGAAGATAGAAAAAAAAAATTTTTTATTTTTATTTTTATAAAGGAAACAAGGATAAAATTCTAGTGTGGTGAACCTGACCTAGAATCATGGAGATAGTAGCTCTAAATAATAACAAAGAGGGAAGAAGTCTTCACATCAAGTATCAATGCTTGATGTGAAGACTTGATGTGAAGGGTAGATAGGGATGGGCAACTTAGATATTGGCTACCTAAAATGTGGGGGCAATAAAGGCATGAAGTGACTGGCTTACAAGGTGTCAAGAGGGAGTTTAGTTTAAGAGTGTATGGGAGAAGAAATTCCCCACTAAATAGTTTTTAATCTTGTCTAGATGGTTCTGGTAAAAAGAAATGGGGATAAGACTCTTAATGATTCAATAGTGAGTAATGGTTATCATGACGAATTGTGACTGTCACTGTTGTAAAGGTAGAAGTTTTGTAACAAAAACGGGGGAGTGGTTAATATCATAGTCTAGAAACAGAGGACCTAGGACCATGAAGGGGGAAGAGCACAAGTGAAATGCAGGACCTTATTCAGAGAAGCAGCCACACCAGAGATGGAGGCAGAGATGGGGACATGGAGAAGGGGAGCAGCTGAGGACTCCAGATTCATGGGAAGAGAGGGACTAAGAGCTGGCAGCCAGGAGGCAGACTTGCAGAATGTGCCCTTTGTGGTGTAAATTATTATATATGCCTGAGAGTTTTAAAAAGAAAAAGAGCTTATGTGAATAGAGAGAAATAATGTTAGCTGATGGTACATGGAGGGGATTTTAATTATTGCAATGAAACAAGGTGTATGATTTGTTGAATGTAAAACTGATGTTCTGCCTGTAACCTTTCACTCAATTCACAATAAAAACTTGAAAAGAAAAATCCCACAGTAGAAAGATGATGCTGACTGCTTCTATAGAGTTGAGTCTCAGAAACTCTTGGTTGCAGTTCTACTCTGTTCTACAAGGGTTGTTAATATATGGCTTATTTCAATGGTACAGAGCCAAAAAAAACATCATTATGTAAACTTTTTAAACCTGATTTCCTCATATAAAATGAGATCATAAGATACTTTTGAATTTTTTAAAGATTAAACATTATATATGAAAGTCTATGGTATAGTGCTTCATGCTCAGATACTAAGATAATTCCTTTTCCAAAACACCTGATTTTGACCAACTTGTCTGCTAACTTTCTAAATAAGTGGCCAACTCAATTGTACTTCCTGATTAGTTGCTTCTGAGTTGTTTCCTAAATGCACCTTTCTTTTCTTATTTTTTAGTCTCATTTAAAAATGTTAACTTACTGTTCTTAATATCTTTATATACAATTGTTATTTTTATTTGTTCTATTGTTTAATTCATTTCAATTTTATCAGTAACTTTTTTTTGTATTTTATTATAAATATACTTGTATGTTTGGCTAAAAAGACTCTATTCTTCCCAGAAAGATGAACAAGATGGACATATGTACTAGTCAATGCTGATTTTTCTTTTCTTCTTATGGTAATAAAGTAGAGTTTTAAATTATTCCATGTCTAAATTATTTCTATCACCCTGAATTCTCATATGTAATGCACAATATGGAATGGCTGTTGTTGTTTTTAAGTGCCATTGAGTAGGTTTGACCCATAGTGACCCTGTATAGGGCTTCTGAGGAGTAGTTGGTGAGCTTGAACTACCAACTTTGTGGTTCAAACAACATTTCAGTCCACCATATTAACCCACAGTGCCACACCAAGACTCCCACGGAATACTTGACTCATCATCAAATGAAAATCCTAAAAGGGACTAAATAAATAAACCCACTAATGGTTATGAGCCAGGCTGATATTTTCAAGATCAGCAGTTCAAAAACTACCAGCTGTTCCAGAGGAGAAAGGTGAGGCTTTCTGCTCCCATAAAGATTTACAGCCTCAGAAACCAGAACAGGGTAGATATGAGTCAGAATTGACTCCACTGCAGAAAACCATCACTACCAAACTGTTTGTTCTATACAATATACTTGCAGTTTTCTAGAAGATCATGAACAAAATACTACCTGTTTGGAACAATGATCTGTGTTGATGACATTTTAGTCTATTCAATCAGTACTCTCATCTGTAAGCAGTTTATTTAGTCATTTTGGAAAAAAACCATAGCTGTACCCTTTCCAGCTCAGATTGAACTAAGATCTCTTCTTGAATATTCAGATGGTGGGACATTGTTTTCTAGCACAGGCTCCAAATGCTATGTATCAAAACTACTACTATCCAGGAGTAGAAAGCATTCCGGAAAACCAAAGATATGGAGCATTTCTTCAGTGTTGGGTACTCTCAGAATTTTCGACCTCGTTTCTTCACATCAGTCATTCTTGAAATAGAATCACTTCTTTTTGTTACCAAAGTGGATTTTTAATCCCTTTAATACAACATTAGTACAGAATCTATTTTTTTTCTCCTCTAACCTGGACTTCTGTTGTAAAGCCTGTTCTTAATGTGATCTCTCAATTTTGCATTCTCTCAATGGCTATTCTCCAACTTACAGAATAATTTTGTTATACTTTCACCAATCCACCAGCCTTGTTGTACTGTTGTTGTTGATAAGTGCTGTCGAGTAGATTCCAACACATAGCGACCCTGAACAGGGTTTCTGAGGCTGTAAATCTTTACAGGAGCAGAAAGCCTCATCTTTGTCCCACGGAGTAGCTGGTAGTTTCGAACTGCTGACCTTGCGGTTCACAGCCCGATTCATAACCACTACGCTACCAGAGCTCCTTTGTTGTACTGTGGTGGTTTGCATTTTGCTGTAATGCTGGAAGCTGTGCCACCAGTATTTCAAATACCAGCAGGATCAACTATGATGGAATTTCCATACTAAGACAGACTAGCAAGAAAGACCTGGTGTTCTATTTCTGAAACTAGCCAATGCAAATCTTGTGGATCATAACAGAATATTGACATGCTTCGCAACTATTATTAGGAGGAATCAATCACTGGCGGAGGACATGTTTGGTGAAGTAGACGACCAGAAGACAAGAAAGACCTTCGGTATCATGGATTGGCACAACAGCTAAAATGGAGGATTGAAACATGTTGGTGATCATAAACATAGTGTTTGTTGTTGTTGTTGTTAAGTGCCATGAACTTTGTTCTGACTCATAACGAATCTGTATAGGGTTTCCGAGGAGTGGTTAATGAGCTTGAACCACCAACCATACAGTTCAAACTGATCTGCAGTCTAGCACATTACCCACAACACAACTCTGAAGATAGTGTAGGGCTAAACAATGTTTTGCTCTATTGTACACTACAACTATCTTTCTGTCTGTATATCCTTTTGAGTGTGGATTCCCTACCTTGAATGTTCTCATTACAATCATTCCAAGCAAAGGATGACACTTGTAGAGACATGAGTAGATCAAGCCATCCATTTACAATTCCTAACATATATGTTTTCTTCCTCTCTTTTGCCATGCCAAAGACTCTTTAGTTAATTTAAGTCTTGGTTAAAGGTATCTCTCTGGCTCCTCATTCAAGCATACTAGGATGATACAACATTTACATTTGTGTAGTGCTATTTTTGCTTTCAGGAGAAAGAGAGTTTTCTGCTTCTGTAAAGATTTACAACCTAGGAAATCCCACCTAGGGTTGATATGAGTTGGACTCCACTAAATGTCAGTGGACTTTAGTGGCTTCTATTTTTGCTTTTATTAGATCCCAAGATGCATCATGAATAATTAGTAATTTGTCTCTGTACACTGAAGAGAGGAACTGAGTCTGATTCATCTTTGAATACTCAGAATTTAACATTGTCCCTAAGTCAAGTTAAGTGACTATCTTCATTCTTCAATATATCTTTATATACCATCATAGTTTTGTAAATTCAGAAATACTATTTATTTAATTTCCTTTAATGAATATTTGTTACAAAAACAGAGATATAAAGTCTTGTTCCCAAGTTCAAACCATTTATTAACTTAAACTTTGAGTTTTCCAAATTACCCAAAGTGAAGTAATCAAGTAATTCTCTTTATACCTGAAAAATGGTTTTTCAGAAATATTTGAGATAAAAATATGATTACTAGAAGTATATGGCAAACATTTCAAAAGTACAAAATTAAGTGTAAAACTCACATGATTTACTGGTAACTTCACACTGTATTAAAAATGTGAAAAGCCTTTTGATGTACAAATTTGTAGTTTTGTGTTTGTTTTGTTTTCTGATATATATATATATATATATTTTTTTTTTCATATATTTTCATCACTTAGATTTCCAAAGAAGTAACAATTTGCATGCATTGTGTCTACCCATTATATATAATTAAAGGTGCAATGTTTTCAGTGAAATAAAAGTTTACAACTCTGAGTTCTGAATTTTAGTGAATACTGCAACAAGGATTTTATTTTATTTTATTTTATAGAATCCAAAGGTAACAAGAATTTTTAAGGTCAAGATGTAAAAACATAAAGTCCTAAGTTTTCTCTCCATTCCTAAACCACAGAGATCTAACCCCACAATTTTGTTTTCATGTTCTCATCAGAAAATCATATTACATTGGCATTGCTTAGTGTTTTCTTTTTTGTGTTGATGATTCTGAAGTTTCTAAAGTCAAAGTGACTCTCATAATTTTCTTTTAGGTCAGATTTTTAAAACTTTGGTGTCCAGTCTCTGGGTTTTCACTGAGAATGACCTTCCCTTGATCGTCTTCTAGGTCCTGGTTAAGATGAAGAAAGAACATGTATATTATACATGTGATGCAACTTTAGATATTAAAAATATAGAATTCTATGCATAGCTACCTTTATTAGAGTTCATAACCTATTATTATGAAAAATGCTATACTATTTTCTAAATAATATTCTCAGTGTATAGTAAAGAAGCCCAAGTAATCATTTGATCAAAATCACATTAAAAGAACATATTAAAATTTAATAATTTTATTTTTAAAAATTTGTACATTTATAAGAAATCCCTGATACACTCTTCAGTTTAAAAATACTTGTGTGATTGATCCTTTAAGTGCATATGTCTATATACTGGAGTGACATAAAAGATCAGATATGCTTATAATGGATTTATAAATCTTGCAATTTCTTGCAACTATGAATATGTAATATCGTTAGAAATTTCAGACTTGTTATTCAAGAATATAATTTATTCTAAGATTCATGAGGAAAACTTTGATCTTTAAATGTAAACAAATGTAGAGCAAACATTAGAAAAGCCACAGAAGTACAGTTATGTAGAAAATTGTACTGCCTATGTGATGTAGGCATATATTTGATGAGTTTTGCAAATAGCTACAATAAAAGTTCATATATATATAAAGTTATGTTAAGTGCTGTTGAGTTGGTTCTGCCCCATAGTGATCCTATATAGGGTCTCTGAGGAGTCGTTGGTGAGCTTAAACCACCAACCTTGCGGTTCAAGCCGACTTTGCAGTCCAGTGCATTAACCCACAGTGCCACACCAGGACTCTCTTTCTCTGTCTCTCCATCTCTCTCTCTCTCTAGCGGTTATGAATCAGGCTGCGAACCAGCAAGGTCAGAAGTTCGAAACTACCAGCTGTTCGGCGGGAGAAAGATGAGGCGTTCTGCTCCCTTAAAAATTTACAGCCTCGCTATGAGTCGGAACCAACTCCACGGCACACAGCCAGCTGTATGTATATATATATACATTTCAAATATGCAAAGTCACAAAATAGTATTTTCTCAAACCAAAAACAAACTATTTTTATTGCTATCAGGTTAGTCTGTTCTCTGCTCTGCACTGGTATTCAAGAATTTATTTTTGACTAGCCTGCACTTGTTTCTATTTTGTTACTAGCTGAGCATCCACCCAGAGATGCCTTGGAAGAAACAACCGGCAATCTACTTTTGAAATATTAGTAATTTGAAACCCTATGAAGCACAATTCTATTCTGATCCAAATAAGATTACTCTGAATCAATGTTGATTCCACAAACATTGATTTTGCTATTCTTTGATTTTACTAATAGTACATGATTCATTGGTATACTATTAATGAGCAATTGATTTTATGATTCTTATTAGCAACATACTTTACCTCAAAATTGACTACATTTTCTCCCTTAAAGACAACAAAAGGCAATAAAATATATAAACAAACTCTGCTTTATTTTGATTTCTAATAACAAAGCAGATGTCATATATATGTGGGGACTTCAAAGAGTTCCTGAAAAAAAAATCCATTAACTTTTAATTCCAACTCTTTTAAGCCTCCACATAAAAATATTACTTCTGGTGTGGCACTGTGGAATAATGTATTGGACCACAAGGTCAGTGGTTCAAATTCACCAGCTACTCCTCGGAAACCCTATACAGGGGCTCTATGAGTGGGAACTGACTCAACGGCAGGTAACAACAGCATGGTCAACATACTTACCTTGAACTCTTTTGTTGGCTTGTGCTTTCCTCATAGGTGTATCTAAAATTAAATAGTTGTAGTTAGAAATTCTTTGAATTAATTGGAAATCAAGACTGATATACAGATGGCTATAGTTAAGCAGAAAAGTATAAAATTATATATATATATATATTACTTAAACTTGTAAGCTTTCTTTTGGAGTGGTGAATTTTATGATTAAGAGGAGTTAGCATTGGACAAAGAGACATTTAATTTCCATATGCCTTAATGAATGGTTAGTGTTTTCAAGACACATTTTTCATTATGGTCTTGATGCTATTTTTGCATAAAGTAAATTACTTAAATGACTTTTTCAGCTTTTTTAAGAAGCACCACTTCTCAGAGTTATGCTGCTATTTTGCCGACAGTCATCTCCATTTGTAATGGAACAAACTTCTGCCTCTGTAAAATTCTTGACATTATAAATTCAAACAGTTATTATCTTAGAGTACATGTTGTTGTTAAGTGTCATGGAGTCAGTTCTGACTTATAGCAACCCTGTATAGTGTTTCTAATGAGTGGCTGATAAGTTTGAACTACTGACCTTGCAGTTAACAGTTCAGTGTTTATCCTACAGGCCACAGCAGAAGAACAATAAAATACCAATGATCTAATAACTCCAGAAATGCAACAATAAAAAATTCAGGAAATGTGTGACACCGTTAAGAGTCCTGGTGTGGCACTACAGTGGTTCAAACCCACCAGCCACTCTTTGGAAGTGACTCAGTAGCACTTAACAGCAACAACATCCCCCAACATATCATTTCAATCTTACAAGACAATTGTCTTTTAAATAAACAATTTTAAAGTAACAAAAACTTTCAAGCATCTTTGTTATCATTGCTATAGCTGTGAAGTTTTCCTCAATTTCATTATTTTATTTTTCTTTAACTCACTGACAAGATCACCTGGGAGGCCAAAATTCACATTTTCACACAGTAGATGGGCATTTGAGATCAAAGGGTAAATTTGGTTCCTACAGCAACTTAATTTTTCTGCTTACCTTTATTTTTACTCCAAATATTTATATATTATCTATAATGGCAAATGAAATAAACATTTTTATACTACATGAAATTTTCAGTTTCTGAAATCTCAAAAAGATTTGGCATTAAGCTACATCTATAAATCATTTTGACTGTATGACACCAAGTAAATAAAAATACCAAAAAAAAAAAAAAAAAAAAAAAAGAGAAACCTTTTTTTCAAATTTAGGTGAATTCTTTTTCTGTATAGATAACATTTTCCCTTCCAGAATATAAGCTGTACCGCCACTTGCTAAACTATAGTAATGCTACAATAAAATATAGGATCACAGAAACTCTTATTAGACTGAATAATGAGGGAAAGGCATGATAATACCAAAATGTTTTATGTGGAAAATGATGTGATCTTAAAAGAAAAGCATTATTAAAGTGCAGAAAATCAAGTTTGTTACCCTGGTCACTTTGCTATCTCAAAATGAAAAAGAATTATTGGATAAGGACTGTACTGTTAACTTCAAGGTCAACATTCAAACCCACCAGACACTCCTTGGAAACCTTATACAGGGTGGCTATGAGTCACAACTGACTTGAGGGAACTTAACAACAAAAACAAGATAGCAAAACAAGGGAAAGAGAATCTGTTATCTGAACCACTTGACACAAAAGACCTTGACAAAAACGCACAAAGTGCTTCAGCCCAATTATTTGCAAGTTTCTATATTTTTACAGTGGCATAACTTTGGAAATTTAAGCTAAGAATGTTAAATGTTACTTTGTTGTTGTTAAGTTTTGTCGGGTCGGCTCTGACCAAAGCAACCCTGTAAATAGTTTCCAGGAGTAGCTGGTGAGCTTGAACAGCTGACTTTTTGGCTCAAACTGACTTTGCAGTCCCACACATTAACCCTTTAGTGACCTTGTTAGTGTTAATTGGAGATAAAATCGATAGTAGTTCAGAGCTGACTATTGCTAAACACGATTCCAAGTGTTAACTACTTGTCTTAACTATGATTTCTTCAAATGAAGATGTCAAATGAAGAAATCAAAGCATGAGTCAACTAATACAATATAGTTGGAGTTGGGGCCCAAATTAGAAGCCAGCCTACACGCACTATACACCACAGAATCTTTGAGTCTTTACAGTTACATTGGCAAATTTGTCAAAACCTTCCAAAATGACCGTTTTGGTTTCCTTCACCATAGCTTGGTGTTCTCCTTGAATTTCTCTAGTTTCTGCATGCTTAGTTCCATCTAAGATAAGCATAAAAAACTAATGCAAAAAGGTTAATAATTCCATTTTGTAATAGTATTTTTTCACTTTGCTTTGTTGTAAAGTTCCATTGAGTTGATTTCAACTCATAGAACCTCTATACAGGGTTTCCAGGAGTGACTGGTAAGTTTGAACCACTAACTTTGAGGCTCAAACTGACCTTGAAGTCGAGTGCTTATGCTATGGTGCCACACCAGAATTCCAACTTAATGGATCTAAAATATTTCAGCAACAAACTTGTGCCAAAAGGACCACTTAGCTATAGTAATAGTTGTATAATACACTGAATTCAACAAAATATGGAGCACAATATTTGGTGAAATAGTTAAAGTAGGCATCTGCTAACCTAATGGTTGGCAGTTCAAAGTCACAAGCTGCTCCAAGATGTGGAATTCTACTTCTGTAAGATTTATAACTTTGGAAACCTTATAGGACAATGCTACTAAGTACTACAGGGTTGCTATAAATTGGGATTACTCAATGTTTTTGCTACTAGTTTTACAACATTATCAAAAATTCTAATAGACAATAGCTAGCTGTTAAGATGAAGACCATGGTGTGAATATGTACCAGTTAGTTAAACTCTTAAAGACAAAAAATCTATCTTGGATGATATAATTTGTATTTTCACTAGTTTCTTTGTAAATCTATGTCCCTTAGTATCTAGAGAGAACACAGTGATAAATTTATGGTTTTATACTGTTGAGGCAAATTTTTTTTTTCTAGCATGTACAATTAATGTCCAGATACTAGTAACTATGAAATTTTTACTGTTTTTCCAATGGGAAGAAAAAACACTGGTAATGTTTTAATAAATACTTACAATATGGCATTGTGGAAACTGAATCTTATGTGTAATAGAGAAGCCACATATTGAGTACTAAAGGAATTAATATCAGGGATGAATATAAACAACAATTAAGAGAAAATCCATTAAGTAGAAAGCAATAGGATATCATACTCCAAATTTATAACAGGTATAGTTTTTCCTGTTGGCTGAATCAACTCTTAAGTATTGAGTTGCATCGTCTATAATGTATTCACCAACAAGGACTTTATAAAATGGAGGAAAACACACTTACCTGAAGTTTAAGCATATATGAATTAAAGCAACATAAACAGATGAAACTACAAATTGATTCATTCTCTAAAATGCATTGCCATTCTACAAAGCTGCTAACTATGGCAAAGATTAAAGATTAAAAAAGAATTCAATTTTATCTTCACAAAGTTGTGATCTCTTATCTCAAATTCCTAATGTCTTCCTTGGAGAGTTAAGTATGTGCGGTAGATGAATTTGGTTCTGTGTTAAAGGTTTCAGGAACCAGTGGTGCAATATGGCTTTATGTGTATCATGTATTCCCTGTTGTCTGAAAGGAAATCTGGTCATTTTCATATACATACATTTCTACTGAGGAAAAACTCAATCATTGTTTAAATAAAAATCATGCCTTTTTATTACCATTTACCAGTCTCTCAACAGTATATGAGGCTTTTATCTATGTTTAAATAAAGCCTAAAGAAATGCCCAAATTATACAGGATTCTTGTTGTTGTTAAGTGCCATCGAGTCGGTTCTGACACACAGTGACTCTGTATAGGGGTTCTGAGGAGTTGCTAGTGAGTTTGAACTGACAACTGTACAATTCAAACTGACCTTGTGGTACAATGCTTATCCTTCAATACCACATCATGACTCCATGCAATGTCCTAAGAGAGTTCATATCCTCTTGGACATAATGATTCCACTTTTTAAATTATCAACAAAAAAATCCATCTGAACTATATTTTGGATAAATACCCAAATATAGTTTTCTTATTCATATATATTTCAGATTATATTTGAGTTTTTTTTCTAAAAGTAAATACTTGTTTCCTAAAAACATTTTGACATCTTTATAATTTAATTGATAATAAAATAAACCAAAACTCTATTTATTTAAATTTAAGTTATCCAAGAGTAAGGGAGGAGGGGCAGATAGGTAAGGTAGAGGACATTTTAAAGACAATGAAATTATTCCATGTGATACATAATAGTATAGCATATATATAAATGATAGTATGTATTTGGTTAAACCCAGAGACTTATATAGCATAAAGATTATGGTGGAAATTAATTAATACTAGCGTTTCAATTACCACAGGAATGAAAGATGTTGCTAATAAAATAAATAGTGTGCAAGGGGGTGGGGAGAATATGGGAATGGCACTTTGTGCACAATTTTTCTGGAAAATAAAAACTGCACTAAAAAATAATATATATATATATTTAATTCCAATGGTTCAAATTGGAGTTTATTAACATAAACTATTTCTTTGAATAATTATCATTGAGCTTGTGTAAGATATTGAATTCTTTTTTTTCCCTCTCTTTTGTTTTTAAAGTAAGTCCATTTGAAGCCATAGACAGAGAACATTCCATACTTGAAAGATTAAGATTAATTTTCATAGACAAAAAGAATATAATTCCAAGGAATAGATTATCATCCAAATTGTTAGAAGAAAGAGATACCCATTCCCAGCAATGTAGCTTGAAAAAGAAAGGTATTAATTAAATGCACTGATTTTTACTACAGCTATCACTTAAAAAATCCATACGCATGCCTTTTGTTATTGTCATAGGGGCAGTGAATATATTTTTTTAAACATAAAATGCATATCAACTTAGGCTAATTTAAATAACCAGAAATTTATTTCTTTTTATTTTTGTATAATTTAAAATATCCATGGCAAAGTTAAAAATGAAAAAATATATATATATATTCATTGCTCCTCAACCATGATACCATAAAACTTTTTAAAGACTGTTGAAACCATTAATCATTTCATTATAGCTATAGCTTAAATGACTATTGAACCAACCATTCTGTTAAGACAGTACATGATGTTGTCTTTTTAAACCCTTACTTAAAAGCAAAACTTTGCATGTTCAGTCTTTAAAAAGTTGATGAACTCAGTCACCAAAACTTCTTAAAGGAGTTAGTTGGTTTCTTTACTAACCTCCCTGAAGCAGTCTTTTAATTTCTTCATCTTCAAATAATTGACCATCACCCCCTTCAATGAATTTGGTGACCTTGGTGACTTCTAAGTAGATACATGTTTATAGCAGAAATTTGTTTATATAATAAAAAGACAGGCGATTCGATGTAATAAATAATGGCATCTACCCCAACACACCAATAGTTCTCAGGATATAGTGCTGGGGTTTTTTTTTTGTTATCATTTTTTTTCATACTTTGAATGATTTAACAAATAATATGAATGCCATTTGAATCTTATTCCATACCTTTTGACTATTTTTTTTTAAATATAAAGATATGGAACTCAAAAAAAAAAAACAAGAGAGAGAGAGAAACTGTTAATAGAATGTATAAAAAGGCTTGAAAGAGTATTTTAGAATATGACAAAGATGAATTCGTTTTCTAGACATGCTAACCTTCTTTCAGAAATTTCTTCAGAGTTTCTTCTGTGTCTCCCCCACCAGCAGAAACCCTAGTGTATTTGATCTCAGGACCTAAATGAAAGATATTAGACCTAAATCTCAGGACCTAAATGAAAGAAATCAGGAGAAAGTAAAATTTTTTTTCCTGCAAAGTTACAAACAGGAAATATTTCAGGATATGTGGGTCAAATGGTCTCTGCTATAATATTTAATTTCCTTTTATCCTGCGAAAGCAGTCATAAACAATACCTAAACAAATGAAAGCGGCGGTGTTCCAATAAAGGTTTATTTACTAATAGAATATATAGATTATAATTTTGTTACCGTAATGATGACCTAAAGAAAACCTTACAAAATAGATGAATTCAGAATTTTAGACTAATTTTTAAATGGGAAACATATAGGTTACTAACATTTTTGATCAATTGCTTTATACAAATTTACACATATTTTAAATGTACAAATATGTAGATCTTGAGATTACTGAAAAATTAAAGGAAAAATTAGTTTTTCTTCTAGGATTTAGTAACTCATGAATAAATAAAGTGAAGATAACATTATATTACATTTATGCTTAATCATAATAAAAACACATGCTTATACTTTTATCTATAATCCAATTCAGAAGAAAGCATAGATTGCATGTTTAGATCTTATTATTTTTCCAAACAAAACCATTAACTTTAGTGACCACTATGAAAATGACTTCGTTTCTCTGATGACTCCTATAGAGGCATTATAGGATTGAAAGTTGTTTGTTCTTTATAATTCAGGCATAATCACATGTATTAAATCAAAGATTACCTTTGATGATTCGTTCTTCCCGTGTCTCCTTTTCAGTTATTTCCACAGGCATACCCTCGATAATTTTGGTGTATTTTTTAATAATTGGCTCTGAAAGTAGAGAAAAGAAAGTACAGTTGATTCATCGCCAGACAATGTCAAAAATGCCATAAAATAGACATTTTAATGATTAATTGTATTTTTGAAAATAAAACAGTACCATTTAGGATTCAACTATAATCATTTTGGTAATAATCTCAGAATAATAGAGATCTAAGTCAATAATTGTGCCCTGAATCTTGGGTGACAAAGAGAACCAGTTGGAAAATGAACACTCATGTAATACTTTGTTACTGGCTGTGGGATGAGTAATTAGTGAGACCCAGGAAGTTACATATCATTAGAAAGCAAATACTGTTATATAAGCCCTACCGGTTACTATCAATTCAATTCTGACCCACTTCGACCCCATTTCAGAGTAGAACTGTGCTCCACTGGGTTTTCAATGTGTGGTTTTTTGAAAGTAGAGCACCACATCTTTCTCCAAAGGCACCAATATTTCAATTCACTGCAGAGACTGGTAAATATTTACATCATTCAGGAACTCCACAATAAGTCCTAGTATGATGTATTTTTCTTGTTAAGTACCATCCAGTTGCTTCTGATTCATGGTGACCCTGTAGAGATTTTCCTAGGAGTCACTTATGGGTTTGAACCACCACATTTTGCTTAGCAGTCTAGTGCTTTACCTACAGCACCACATAAGAATTTCACTGTGGCTTATTTGTTGGTGTCATATATAATTGCTTATATATGTTCCTCTATTCCTAAATGAAATATACCCTTTTCTATTGACATATTCAAGGAGCTCTGGTAGCGTAGTGGTTACGAATCGGGCTGCGAACCTTAAGGTCAGCGGTTCGAAACTACCAGCTGCTCCGCGGGAGAAAGATGAGGCTTTCTACTCCCGTAAAGATTTACACCCTCGGAAACCCTATACAGGGTCACTATGGTTCGGAACCGACTCGATGGCACATAGCAACAACAACAATTGACATATTCATCAATTGAATATGAAGAAATGAAGATGTAAAAGAACCGAACAGAAATTTTCAAAGAGCAGCAAGAGAAAACAAATTATTACATATAATGAAATGTACAAAAACCTGGAGTTAGAAAAGGGAAAGAGAATGCTCAGCATTTCTCAAGCTGAAATCACTGAAGAAAAAACTCAAGCCTTGACTTATAATGTTGAAGTGTGGCACTGTAGAACACGCACTGGGCTCCTGCTGATATTTCAAACCTATTAACCATTCCTCAGAAACCCTATACAGGGTTGCTGGAAGTCAGAACCAATTTGATGATTCTTAACAATAATAGCATGGACACAAAATCGTGCAAAAAGCACAAAAAGAAAATGGAAAGAATACATAGAGTCACTATACAAAAAAGAAATGGTCAATGTTCAACCATTTCAAGAAGTATCATATGATCAACAACTTATGATACTGAAGGAAGAAGTCAAATCTTACTGAAAGCATTGGTGAAAAACAAGGCTCCAGGAACTGATGGAATACAATGTGAAATCTTTCAACAAACTGATGCAGAAATAGAGAAGTTCATTCATCTCCCCCAAGACATCTGGAAGACAGATACCTGGCCAATTGTTTGGGAAAGAGTCATATTTGTGACCATTCCAAAGAAAGGTGACTCAACTGAGTGTGGAAATCATCAAACAATATCATTAATATCTCATGCAAATAAAATTTTGCTTAAGTGTTGAAATTCAAGCCAAATTCAAAAGAGGACTTGGAATGATGGATACATTTGCTAACACATGATGGATCTTTATTGAAAGCAGAGAATACCAGAATGGTGTTTACTTGTGTGTTATTGACTTTGCAATGCTTTCAACTGTGCGGACCATGACAAGTTATGGATAAAATTGTGAAGAATGAGTATTCCAGAACACTTAATTGTGCTCATGAGGAATCAGTACATGGATTAACAGGCAGTCATGAGAACAGAACAAGGGGATCCTGAATGTTTTAAATCAGGAAAGGTGTGTGCCGAGGTTGTATCATTTTACCATACTTATTCAATCTGTGAAGTCCTGGTGTGAAGCTGTGGGTTAATGCACTGGACTGCAAAGTCACTTTGAACCACAAGGTCGGTGGTTCAAGTTCACCAGCTGCTTCTCGGAAACTCTATACAGAGTTGGTATGGGTTGGAATTGACTTGACGGCACTTAACAATAATAACAACATTCAATCTGTATTGTAGTTGTTGTTAAGTGCTGTTGAGTTGATTTTGACTCATAGAGTCTCTGTATAGGGTTTCTGAGGAGCAGCTAGTGGGTTTGAACTTCTGGTCTTGTTATTCACAGTCCAGTGCTGGAACTGGAGTGCCATTCAATTTGCATACTGAGCAAATAATCAGAGAAGCTGTATTATACGAAGAAGAACATGGTGTCAGGATTGGAGGAAGACTCATTAGCAACCTGTGATAGGCAGATAATACAACCATGTTTGCTGGAAGCAAAGTGGACTTAAAATACAGATGAACAAAGACTACAGCCATTAGCATGGATTGCACCTTAATGTTAAGAAAACAAAATTGATCACAATTGGACCAGTAAACAAAATCATCATACATGCAGAAAAAAATTGAAGTTGTCAAAGATTATCTTTTGTTTGGATCTGCAATCAACCCTCAAGGAAGCAGCAGTCAAGAAGTCAAATGATGATTTCATTAGGCAAATCTTCTGCAAAAGATTTTAAAAAAAGTTTTCAAGAGCAAACACATCAGTTTAGGGACTAAGGTATGCCTGACCCAAGTCAGGGTATTTTCAACCAGTTCATCATATGCATGTGAAACTGGGACAGAAAATAAGGTATGATACAGAAGAATTGTTGCATTTTAATTATGGTGTTGAAGAAGAATATAAAACATACCATGGGCTGCCAGAAGAATAAACAAATATGCCTAGCAAGAAGTGCAGCTAGAATGCTCCTTAGAAACTAGGATGCTGAGACTTTGTCTCTTATCCTTCAGACATGTTATTAGTAGTGACTATGAAGAAGGACATGATGCTTAGTAAAGTGGAGGGCCAGTCAAAAAGAGGAAGAGCCCCCACAACGAGATGTATTGACACAGTGGCAGAAATAATAGACTATAGCATAACAACAATTGTGAGGATGGTACAGGACTGGCCAGTATTTTATTCAGTTTTGTATGAGTCAGAATCGACTTGATGGCATCTAACAATAACAAAGATCCATGCAAAAGAAAAAATATATTTTATTCATACAAAATTTATAGAGAGTAAAAACTAAGATAACGCAATTGTTGTTAGATATCGATAATCCTGTACTATTTCAAAATAATATCAGAGATCCTGGCTAGAGTCAAGAAAACACATATAACACACCTCCATGAATCACTTCAGTTATTGTGTCACCTTCTTTAATCAATCTGAACTCAGGTTCATCTTCAATTCTGACCTTTGTTATTGTGGGTCCTGAGATATTATTTTAGGAAACAAATAATTATGTTAAAAGCAATCCTCTACATTTACTGCAGCAAGATAGTCAACATTTGGCATTACTCAAAGACCAAAGTGGTTTCAGACTTTCTAAATCAATTTTAAACACATTTCCTGCTGTCTTCAAACTAGGTAATATTTATGGGAAGAATTGATTCAGTCTACTGGTATGCTAATAAATTACTTTCATCTTTATTTTAAATGATGAGTAAATACATCATTGACAGTGGTAAAGTATGATCATAGAAAATACTAAATGTTGCTACACTTGTGAATCATACAGCATGTAGAAATTTGAATTGCTCTAATCATAATTAGTGTAGATATGATGTTACCTACACATATCAAGCATCATCAATTTAATAGTTTGAATTATTCAGTGTCATAAATTTTTATTTATAACTTCTATATCAAAATCGCACAGGATTGAACATGAGAAAAATCCATACGCCTACCTTAAAAATAACAAATTTTAGATTTTATGGGAAAAATATTTTGAACACTTACCTTTTATTTGGAAATGATGCAAAAATTAACTAACTAGCACAGGATTGAACATGAGAAAAATCCCAACTTTATGCCTACCTTAAAAATAACAAGTTTTAGATTTTATGGGAAAAATTATTTTGAATACTTACCTTTTATTTGGAAACGATGCAAAAATTAACTAACTAATGATTGAACAGTTCTCAAAATGTAAGAATTAAACAAGTCTGTATTTGACTTGGAAAATGATTTTACTCCAGGAGAAAATCATTTTGAATGTTAGAAAGTTCAGTACTATATTACAACATTAGTTAATCAAGAACTATTTCACAGAAGAGAAGAAAAATAAGGTTCAGTACATTTCACTCATACTGCAATACCCTTCAATAGTTAAATGTATTTATATTTGTTAACTTTTGATAAAATTTATTTGTTTGTCCATAAATTATCAATGTACACCATTACCCAGAGCTAAGTAGTGTAAAATAATCTAAGTAACAGAAGAAAAATAGTATCATTCTTTAAAATGATAGTTCATATTTCATATCATAAAATTTGTTCTATGGAGACAGTGACACTGACTAGTAAATTATAAGGTCAGATTTTTAAGATTCAGCTATTCACAAATAATGTTCAGACAACATATTTAAAGACTGTAATTCAGCTAGTAAAATGTCTGAATTACATTGTGTAGAAAAGGCTCAACTGAAATTTCAGAAGAATCATCATTATTAGTTCTAGGAGAGCAGGAAATCTTATAAGTATGTTTTCTAATGTATTCCCAGTATCTGGAAGAATACCAAGAACAATAAATATTAAACACATATCTAATTGAATTGCAGTGTAATTCTTAAGTATGAATTTTGGTTAAGAAACAACTTAAAAGTGTTTCATGGAATCTCATTTATTAAGAATTCAAGAGTTATCAATGAATCTGTAGAATTTTAAACAGTAGGAAGTAAATGCCAGCAGCAATCTTAAAAGCTAGACAATTATAAATGGCTGTGAAGGTATTTAGTTACTTCATTGTGTGAGATAGAAATAAAACTTCTGCATTTTTGAAGAGTTACTAATGAAAAGGAGACATGACTCCATTTTTAACCATGCTCCCTTTTAGGAATAACCCAGTAGAGTTACTGCTTCATCTTTTTCCTAATTACAAAAAGATTAATATGGGTAGAATGGTATTGTCTGAGACTAGGGTGGTTGATGAAGAAGCTAGAAACAGAAAATAATCTAAAAGTCGAAGCAACAGCACATATGAAGAATTTCAGCTATAGAAACTGTGTCCAAGTGATAACGTTTGAGGAACTCTGATTTTGAAAAACTGTTCAAGAATTTTAAAATCAAATATATTTCCAAGGATAATGTGTTCTTTTTTAAAATTAAAATGACCAATAAATATTTTCTCAATAAAAAATCTATAATTTAGTCTTCTTAAAACATCAATACTATTCATTGATGTTTTTAAAACAATCAAATGATCAAAGGGGTGGAATTTTTTAAAATAATGCCTCAAGAATGACTAAAAATATAGATAACTAATGAACAATGAAGTGATAATTATATTTTCTTTTTATATTCTTCTCATTTTGTAAAATTAGATGACAATTTCTATAATACTTTTTTCTATTCCTTTTAAAGCAAGCCTTGACTTAAAATGAAAACATTGGACACACCAGAGTAAAAGCTTTTCTAACATAATGAGAAGAAATATAAAACTTACAGAAAATTATAATAATAGTTTGTCTGAGAGTTCATCAAGAAGATAATATATTCCTTTTTGAAAGGCACATTATTATAGAAAAAAAGAAGATAGCTAGTTCTTTTGTCTGTGGCAAGGCATCACATGAAATATTCAAATATGGCAATGACAAATTCTTAAGGCCTGATTCTTGGAAATAACTAGAATACATGAAGTGAAAGTGATATCAGGATGTTGCATTTTATAGTGAGAGGAAAGCAAAAAGTGACAGCTTGTTTATTGTCCTAATCCAAACCAATAATGAGAATTTATATAAAATCAGGGCTAGAATTATGGACTATATGATTTTACTCAAAGTACCAGTTATTTATTTCTTCTTTATTCTCTGGTTGTCTGCTTTTATAATATATCATGTGAGGTGATTTTTAAGAGTGTTTATCAATTTACTGTTTCCATAGTCCATTAAGATGCAAGATGGAGAAAAAGCAAAACAAAACAACAACCATTTGCACTCTTTAGAAGAGCTTCTTATGATAGTACTAAGGGGATTCATAAGAAAAGAAAATCTAAATACAGCAACAAAACAAAAACAACCCAAATGAAAATCAGTATCTATTTATTTAGAGTATCTGGGTACTAGTGCGAAAACAACAATCAATTGAAGTCAAATTAAATCAAGTACCAGCAAATGTACTGAAGGTATTAGGAATGCACTGTCTAATATGGTAAATAATTTGCACTCTGCATTCTGCAATTACATGAGCATGCTATGGATATAGAAATACTTAGCATGTTAGTTTGAAGAAGAATGTAGATACATTCGTAGAAATCAGTGTATTATATTATTTTCTCACAGTTAAAAGGAACTGTGTAGAATGTTGACTTTTACCTTCAGTTTTGATAATAGGCTGAAGATTGCCTTCAATCACTTTAATTTTTGGTTCCACAATTTTGGTTATAATTTTAGTTGCTGAAAGGTATAGAAAGTGGAACATCAGTGATGTTTATATCAAAACAACATGAAAAAAGCGTCTCTCTTTTTTTTTTCCTTTACATTTGAAGTGTTCTCAGAGGTTTCAGAAGTGATAATATGTTTGTTGTTGTCATTGTTAAGTTCAAATGGAGTAAGTTCTGACTCTTAGTGACTCTGTATTTCTGAGACTGTAAATCTTTATAGAAGCAGAACGCCTCCTCTTTCTCCTGAGAAGCAGTTGGTGGGCTCAAATTGGCAACCTTGTGGTTAGTAGTACAGTGTTTATCCTACAGAACCATCACACTCCTGGTAATATGTTTGTTGTTGTTAAGTTCTGTCAAGTCTCTGTTCCGACTCATGGCGACTCTATATAGTATTTCCAAGGAGCAACTGGTGAGTTTGAAACACTGACCTTATGGTTCCAAATGACCTTGTGGTCGAGTGCTTATCCTACAGTGCCACAAAAGGACTCCAGTTATATGTTTAGGCACTCAGAAAAAGGCAATATCCATGATGGATTCTTTGGCATCCTCTTATGTCTAGATGTTGATCTCTAAAGTACAATCGCTTAAATTTGTTCCAGTGAAATATATACCAACTAAATGAGGAATTGTATCTAGAAATCTACAGTTTGAATTGCACCACTAAAATTCTTTACCTTCTTTAGTACTTCTTGATTATATTGGCTGCATCACAACAGAAGACAAACAAAAATAATTAATTTATACAATTCACAACATCTAAAATTGCATGATTGCATTTTTATTCAATTATAAGAAAATGACAGAAAAAACTTTTTTCATGCATTTGGTAGCAGTGATATAAGAAGGGAAATATGAAAACTAGCTCAGAATAGTTAAAAATAAAAAAATAAATTTTAGTCAGTCAGGCATGAGCTCTGTGCAACAAAACATAATATGATCAGCATTTTAAGTTCCAGAATCAATTGTCTTTGAGTTTCAGCTTCTTATCATCCAATTTCTTCAAGCTTTAAAGTATGTATTTTAGATGTACGTCCCTTTCTAAGTAGGATAATAATGTACAAAATTTATTGTGCATGATTTATTTAACATAATAGTCAACTAGGTGGCTGACTTCTAGTTGCATACATGAACTGAAATCATGCTTCTTATGTCTTGCAAATATAGTTACTGATTACTTGACATTTTCAAGTAGAAGTCTTAAAAGATGGCTCTATTAGACAAAGTGCTACACTGAAGTTGACTTTGCAATTACAACAGATGGTGCTGACACATTATAGATGTGTCACTTAATGTTAATGTTTCTGTGACATTCCACCTCAAGTTTCTGAGATGTTTAGCTGTGTCAGCTTTTTGAGGGAGTATCATTTTAAATTCTGAATTTAATCTGCTTTAGTCTTGTGACTTCAAGTTATAAAACTATAAAATATAGCAAACTTGTAAAATCAAATTATGGAGTTTACCAACGTATATGACCTTACTACCAAAGAAGATCAAAAATCACATAGATCTCTGCTGCAGGTATTACTATGGCTAATTATATTTGGCTTAATTTTTATACCATATTAGAGACCTTGAAGTTTAGAGTGTTTAATTATTTGGTAATTTGTTTCAACATTGTTTTTATGATGACTGAAAGAGTTTTGGCACATTACTACTAAAATGAAAAAATTGATCTTATTGCCCTTCAGCTCAAATGTTATCTATTCTATAATGTATGAGGAGGTTTCAAAACATTGAAGGAAAAAATTAAATTAAGAGAATTTTTCCATGAGCTTTCTGAAGGCCCTTGTTACACTAGAGTATATTTCTCCCTCCTTAAATTTTAAATTCATGAAATTTGGGACACAAGAATAATACATAGCAAGGAATTTGAAGAAACTAGAGAAAAGTCAATAAAAGAACATAGAAATGGAATATTTGGTTTAATTGTTTTCTATCTCTATTGAACTATGCTTCTAAATGACAATATACCTAACCTGGGGGAAGCATAAACAAACAAATAAAACATTGTGCACTGGAATGCAAATATCAGAGTTATTTCAAGAGTTACAAGTAGGTAGACAGAATTCACCAGTCTTGCCTGATTTCATAATGTTTAGGTATACCCAAGGACTGAGTATCCAATTATAATAGAGGGGCATACAAGGATTATAAATATACTTTTGGCTCACTATAAATAGAATACTGAATTCATATTATATATATATATATAATGGTGACACTAACAGATAAAGTAGAGAAGGCAAAGAAAGGTTAGATGCATAGGTTTATGTGTGTGTATATATTGAAGAAAGATAACAATATTTCTGATAAAAAAGTCTATAAGGATAATTTGTTATAAAATATATATTTTTGACAAAATTGTATGCTTTAAGACTGTAATTAATGCCATTTTGAAACACAGTCATTTCAATGGAATCTTTAAACTCTGTGCTGAGCTGGCTTGATATTGGGATAGCAGTTTGCAGTGGAAGACATTATGTTTTGCTATTTATGTTGACTTTTTTCTTGTACCATACCTGATGTAAATCTTAAGGAACCATATTTTCATTTAGTAACTGAAAGTTCATGGTATAAAACAGAGTCATTTTCTATAATAAATGTGAGAACTGAACTAATACTTTAGCTACTTATGTATTTTGAATGTTTAATTGTAAAGTCAAAACAAAATGAAACTAATTTCTGCTTATGAAAACAACAATGATAAAAGAAAATGACTTAAAAAATGCAACAAAAAAAGAAATCTTATGAGGTACATTTATGAAAGTCATTTCCTTTAGTGGTGGTGGTGGTGGTTATGTGCCGTGGAGTTGGATCCGACTCGTAGTAACCCTGTACAGGGTTTCCGAGGCTGTAAATATTTACAGGAGCAGAATGCCTATCTTTCTCCCGCGAAACAGCTGGTAGTTTCGAACTGCTGACCTTGCGGTTCGCAGCCCACTTTGTAACCACTACGCTACCAGAGCTCCTTTAGTAGAGGCATTATTTTGATAACCTGGTAGTATCAGAGAAAATAAGGAATCATGAAATTTAGATATTTTGTTCAGTTGTCCAAGTTTAGATGGGTAGAACTTTTGAATCACCAGTTCTTTGAAACACCCCTTTCCACCCTGCCCTTAGAGTTTTCATGGCTTGAAGAAGGAAAATTGTTTCTGTCCCATACATCTGAATTTTTCAATAACTCTGGAATGCCTCTTTGTTGTCTCTCCTCTTTGTCTCTCAGATAGGCTTCTTATTGTTGTTAAGTGCTGGTGAATCAGTTCCCACTCATAGTGACCCTTTATAGGGTTTCTGAGGATTGTCTGGTGGGTTTGAACTGCCAACTTTGTGGTTTGCAGTCCAGTGATGATACTATAGCACCACACCAGAAGTCCTAAATAGTCTAGACTTTATATTTTGTTGTCATTCTCGGATCAGATCACTTCTATTATTGTGAGGTTTCGGGAAAGTTCCTTGGTTTTGAACAGTATGGCCAAGGCTGGGAGATTTTTCTTTACTTAGATTTCAAATCATGGCTCAAATGGGATGAGATTTACCATTATTTATAATTCTAAGTACCAGACTATTCAATAGTCTCTGTTTGCAAACACAAAGAAAATCATTGGTTTCTTTCTTTACATCTCTCCTGTTATATGTGACAAATGTTCATGATATACTTACTGTATACAGTCATCGGAATTTCTTTGAAAACACTACCACGGACAAACTAGAAAAAAATGTTTATATTTAACATCATAAGTGTAGCAGTTATATTTTAAAAAAATGACATTTTAAAAGTTCTTATTAAAGTAATAAAGTTATCATACTTAATAGAAATCATGTGAAATTCCCATAGAAATCAACTTTTAAAAAATATATTTCCTTGCTATTCTTGCCAGATGACATGAAAATAATTAGATTTTTAAATTCTGTAATAATTTATGAAATAATATTCTTATTTTCTGATACTTTGAAATTACAAGGGTAAGAAGCAAACTATAGTTTTGCCTTTCACTACTGTGATTAGGGACTTTTTTATGAACAAATATTTTAACTTTCCCTCATATTTGGTAGCAAAAATATTTGGTAATAGAAACATTTTATCTGTGTATGTAAATGTCTTATTGTGCCAACTGCACAATAAACTTTGGGGAAGAAAGGGCCCATATTCAATTAAAATTAATATGTTTCATAATATTTTAAACATGCCTGGTTTCCAAGTAGCTTTTTTTACAGATATCTGTTGAAAAACCATGGAAAAATTAGGTTGTTACTTCTTTGCAAGTATGCCAACTGTACATAAGCAACAGAGAACAACCAAAATCTAGTGCACATGTATTTCTTTCTTTTTTTAATAATTTTTTATTGTGCTTAAGGTTACACAGAAAAGTAAGTTTTCATGTAATAATGTCTATACAAATTATTTATAGTTATTTGTTATATTTTTAACATTACATCATCATTTTCATTTGTACCATTTCCAGTATCGCATTTCTCTGCTCCTTACCTTTTCATCTTTGCTTTAGTGTAGTTTTTAACCTTTTAGTCTCATATTGATGCTTTTTAAAAAGAAGTTCATTACCCTTGGGTAACATTCTTTATTTTATGAGCCAATCTTTTATTTAGCTAAAAGGTGACCTCAAGTGATAATTTTGATTTTTGGTGTAAAAAGGGTAATAGTCTTAGAAATCCTCTAGTCTCAACTGGCTCAATAAACACCTCTATTTCATGCTGCATACATATGTAGTTTACCATGTTAAACCTGGAATATTTGTTTAATATATTAAAAATAAATCTAAAAATGTCATTTTGTACCTTAATTTGGATGTATTTGATCAGTTTATTAAGCATTCCCAGCAGCTGATCATTTCCAACTGGTAAGTCTATGAAGGGAAATATTAAATGTATATCATTATAAAAATGCGAAATAAATATCTAGGTGCCAATTTAGAAACAATGAGTTCAATAATTACTAACCTGCTGGATAGAGGAGCTTATCTACAACATGAATGACACCGTTTGTTGTCATGATGTCAGATTCTTTTGATTTCAGTTCATTCACCAGCAGTGTATCATTTACCTACCAAAACAAGGAGATAATGGATATGAGAAATTTAATGAAGAATGAACATTAAGATAAATTAGAGATGGATCAACACTGTCATAATTTATTCTAGAGAACTTACTCCTTTCAGATAAATTTTGCTTCCTTGTGTGGTCTTAAGAATGTTAGTAACACCAGGTTCAAATCCCTTTCCAATGAAAACTCCTGGTGTCAAATGGTAAAGAATGATGTTTTGAAGAGCATTTTTATTCCCTAGGGGAAAAAGACATATATTTATTAAATATTATGTTATACACTCTGACACTTAGGACCTTGGAGCAAAATACTCCTTTGTCTTTGTTGTTGTTGTTATGTGCCATGGAGCCGGTTCCAACTCATATCGACCATGCACAGGGTTTCCGAGGCTGTAAATCTTTATGGGAGCAGAAAGCCTCATCTTTATCCCGCGGAGCGGCTGGTAGTTTTGAACTGCTGACCTTGCGGTTCACAGCCCGATTCGTAACCATTACGCTACCAGAGCTCCTTTGTCTTTAGTGACTTATTTTCCCACCCATATTATATTTTCTATGGCGTACTGATGTCACGCTATAGGATAAGCTCTCGATCAAAAGGTGGATTTGAATGGCAAGGTTGGCAGTTCAAACTCACCAGATGCTCCTCAGAAACCCTGTAGAGAGTCGCTGTAAGTCAGATGCAACTCGACAGCACTTAACAATAACATTATTTCTATAACATTATTCTACTCTGAAATTGGTAACAATATTAAACCAAGTCAACACATATAGTCATTTCAATCACAACTTAAATACTATCCAACTAACTGAGAAAACAAGATACAATTATTGACAGTTTGAGTACTGCCTTGTTTTGTACCTTATTGCATACCTTTTAATATAAACAATTTAAGTGAACATTAAACCAACACCATGATTTGTTAGCTGCCTTCCAGTCAATCCAGATTCATGTGCATTCCATACACAATGAGATTGGATCATTGTGCTTCATTGGTTTTTTGTTGGCTGGTTTTTTTTTTGGAAACCCAGCTATTCTTCCTAATCTGTGAACTCTTCTGGAACCTGTTCAGCATCATAGCAATACTCAAGTCTTCACTGACAGGTGGTGGCTGTGCAGGAGATACATTTGTTGGGACTCAAACCCAGTTCTTCTACTTAGAAGGCAAGAATTCTGCCTCTGAACCACCATTGTCTTCTAACATTATGATGTGGAAAAGTTAATTAATTAATAGCATTAATGAGTGACCCTCCAGTTATTCCAAGTAGATTTAAAGAAATTGAATGTTAGTCACGAATATGAAAGAAGTTTTATTTTTGAGACTACATCTGATCAGGAAAAATTGAAGATGTTACAAACTGAATCCAAGGGGAAAATATTTAGTATTTACTGCTACTCACGAATCAAAATGTCCTTTTCTTCATTAGTCATTCCTTTAAAGGCATCATTGGTTGGCACAAATAAGGTCCAATCTCCAGGTTGTTTCAGGAGATCTTTCAAGTCTGCAGCTTCAAGTAGGCTGAGGAAGATGCTAAACAGGAAGCACATATGATTATTTTGTTATTTTAAAATTCAAGTATACCAACTTAAGTGTACATCGACAGATGAGTGGATAAACAAAATGTGGTATATATGTACAAAGGAAAATTATTTAGCCATAAAGAAAAATGAAGTCCTTATCCTTGCTATAACATGGGTAAACCTTAAAAACATTATGCTTTTAAGTAAGCTAATCGAAAAGCAAATACTGTATGATTTCACTTATATAAAATACAAAGAAAGGACAAAAGTACAGAGACATCATTTATTAGTAGTAACCCAGGGCAGAGAGGAGAGAAAGGATGAGCTATTGTTTATGAAATGGTGAATGTTACTGACGATAGAAAGTTTGGCATTGATCATGGGTAGTGGCTGTTTACAACACAGTTAATACAACCTATACCACTTAATTGCATACTTGAAAAATATTTAATTGGCAAATATTGTGCTATGTATATTTTCATACAGTAATAAAAATGGTAGGTGTGCTCACCCATAATGCATTAACATAGAATCTATGAGATTCAAAGAGTATGAAAAGCATTTTTACATGCTTCAAGTGTAATTTATTTCTTAAGAAAGTTTTATCATGCTTTAAATATGTATAATCTTCTTAAATTTCTCAAACTCAGTTTTTGGTGTATAAAATTCAATTCAGTCACACATTATAACAAAGCAGAAACAGAAACATATTTTTTCATTTACTAATCCACAAAATAGATTTTGCTGGTATGTCCTATCATTTTACTAAAGTTAATTATAGAAGTATTGCAGGGTCCTGGTGTGACTCAGTAGAATATACACTGGACTGCTAACAGCAAGGTCAGCAGTTTAAATTCACCAGCCATTCTTCTGAAACCATATACAGGGTTGTTACGTGTTGGAACCAATTCAACAGCACATAACAGCAACAACAATAGAAGTAATTCACTTTTTTTTTTTTTTTTTTTTTTTGGCACACCAAATCATATTATGTTTCTCCAAAAAGTAAAAGACATAGTGTTTGAAGCATATTTCAATTTTGAAAATGTTCATAGACATCTTATTCTAAATTATTTTCTTACTAAAGAAGGAGGCTAAAGGGTTTTTTCGTATACAAACTGAGAAACAATAAATGTCAATTGCTTCATTATTTTGTGGCAGTTCAACAATAAAAGCTTACCTAAAGCGCTTGTCCTGCTTTAATTTTTCATGCAATGAGTGCTCTGCTGGTTTTATAATCTCTCGGAATATGTGGATTGCACCATTTCTTCCTTGCTTGCTTCCTCTCACCATGCAAGAATTTTCAATGCAGACAGCCTAGCAAGGAAAACAAAGATTCATGCTGTCCATTTTCCTACTGGAAATTTCATTTAAGGATATAGCTGAATAATTACATTTCTGGAATGACACGTCTGAGAGGCCACCTGACCTCTTAGGCCACATTAAATATGAATAGCTTCTCCCCTGTTGTGAATGTTTTATACAGTCTGATCTCTCACTTCTTATTCAACCAGTTTTCCTACTACTAGTCAAGATACCCCATGATTTTGTTTTATATCTTATAGAATTCCACTTCCATATTTCCTATTATTGTTTAATCTATTCCTTTCCAGTTTCTAACTATCCCTCTAGTTCTCTTTAAAAAAAAACAAAACAAAACCAGATGCCACTGAGTTGATTCCAACTCATGATGACCCCTAGTGTTTCAGAGGTGTGCACTCCATAGCGGTTATAATGGCTATGATCTTTCAGAATTAGATCAGATGCCTTTTATTTAGAGGTTTCTTTCAAAAGTCTTTCTTCATAAGTGTCTCTGAATGGGCAAGAAGTGTCATCTTTTCAATGTTTCATCATTTGCTTCACCCAAGGATTCCTCAAACTGTTTTTACTTGATTGTCTTGACAGTATGATCCAATCACTTGTAAATCAAGTCAGTAATTCAGTTACAAGTTTATAACAAATGTAATATAGGTTTATGCATAATTTACAAAATAGACCATTTTCTGAATCATTAGAAATGCATGTATTGCAATAGTGGAAATATGAGACATTAATATGCGTCCTATGCAATACTAGGTAATACTTGGCTTCTTGTGAAAATTTTAATGGTAGCTACATATATTATCTGGAAATTAACTGAACAGTACCAGTTGTTGTTGTTGTTGTTATGTGCCATGGAGTCGGTTCTGACTCATAGCGACCCTGTACAGGGTTTCCGAGGCTATAAATCTTTACAGGAGCAGAAAGCCTCATCTTTCTCCCACAGAACAGCTGGTAGTTTTGAACTGCTGACCTTGCGGTTCGCAGCCCGATTTGCAACCACTATGCTACCAGAGCTCCTGAACAGTACCAGTAGCTTTACTGAAATTAATAATTAATATCCTATGGAAAGTTTCCTTTGGATAAAAATATATTTGAACCATTTGATAAGGTCAAGAATTCATCTCTATGTACTGTATAAGTTTATCTTGAAAGAAACTGAATAATAAGATTCAGTTGTTGATAAAACTTAGTTTAAAAAATCATCTTACATATTTAATTATACCTAAAAATTACATTGTGATCTATAAAGTGCTCTATGAAACAAAGGCTTGTTTTTGAAGAGTTTGGGTGCTTTCTGAAATCAAAATAATGTTTTATATATTCTTAAAAACTATAATAGAACAAAGGCATTTTAATGAATTTTCTTAATAGTGTATTTTCACCCAAGTGACCTATTTCCCTATCTTCCTATGAATATTTGCTACTAAAACCACAAATAATTTTTTTTAGAAACATGTGTAATAAAAACATTCTTTGAAAAGTGTCTATGTTTTAACATTTCGATCAGTGGATATTATGTTTTCCTCCAATTCACTTACTGTACGATAAACAAAAACTCTGAGTTGTTTGCCTCCAATAGTCTCAAGTACTTGTCCATTGTAAAGCTCATTAAGGCCAACTTTTACTTTCAATATATGATTTTGCAAAATTAACTTAAGAAGACGTTGATCCATGCTCAGAGTATCATCTACAAATAAAGAGATAGCATTATTATATTTAGAAAGTGTGTAATTTTTTCCATAGAAGAGGAATACATGAAAATGGATACAACTACTGATATTATGGATACTACACACTTTTAATGTATGAGTCAACTAATTCAAGGCTAGAAATTCTATTAATCAATTGAAGACTCTATGATCTATTATATCAAATGACTAGAACCTAATTTCAATCAATCTAAATATTGGATTTAATTCCAATACAGGCTACATAGTTTTATGGTAGTCATTGGCAACAGCTGAATTCTATTGCTGGCAAAAAATTTCCAGACAACTAGCTATGTATTAATCACATCTATCCATTTATGACAATTAGATATCCAGTTGTTGTTGATGTTGTTGTTAAGTGCCATCGGGTCAGTTCCAACCCATAGCAACCCTGTATAGGGTTTCCAAGGAGCAGCTGATGAGCTTGAACTGCCAACCTTGCAGTTCTAATGGCTTTGCAGTCTGGCACATTAACCCACAGCGCCACACCAGGAGTCCAGATATCCAACAGATGGCACTTAATAACAATAAGATTCACTATCAATGAATTATTAGTAAACTCATCTTTAATACTGGAAGGAGAAAGCACACAACCTGTTAAATGAGGATCATTAATATTTTAAGAGAAAAACAGCATTCTCAGAAATTTTCATTACTTTACCAACAAATAATTTTCACTCTCATAATTTAGCATTTGGAAAATACATAAAAATGTTGTACCTGCCTTTGTTAATTATAAAATTTTTACCTAACAACTTAAATATTCTTACTTGAGATATTGTTCTGAAAAAAAATGACACTTCCCTTAAATAGAATCTACTACATTAAATATTTGTATGGGTCACACATATGATATATAAGTGTGCAATAATGTCTCATTTTAATTTAAAATTTAACACACCCTCTAAATTGTGAGATACAAATATGCCTATGTATTAATTATTATATTGGTGTCATGTTTATAACAAATAAACAAGTCAGATTTATTTTTCTTAAGATTTATTCATACATTCATATCATTAAAAATGTGAGTAGATTCATAGAACAACTGAACTCCTTTTATCACAAAATTTTATTCCCTATAGTGTATTATTCATTATAGCTGTTGCTGTTAAGTACCATCAAGTTAGTTCCACCCCATATTGGGTTTCTGAGACGTGGCTGGTGGGATTTATCACTCACCTTGCAGTTCAGACTGATCTTGTTATCCAATGCTTTATCCTACAGCACCACACCAGGATTCATTATATTTAGATATTTGAAATTAAGTACAGTCTAGTCGAGGCATCATCATCATAACATATTAATGTATATATAGCCTATTCAGCAACATCAACACCTGGTAAACTATCTATTATTTTTCGTTGCAAGTAATCATGGTAAATTAAAAAGTTGTGGGAGGAAGTGAAACAAGGTCTAGGACGTACCAGAAAATGCATTGTTCACAGGTGCCAGTAAAGTGTATTCTCCATCTGGCCTCAGAGAAGATGCCAGGCCTAATTGGGCTATTAGGTCTGTGAAAGTGGTTTGTTGATTTCCAGCCAGCTCAATCACTTGCTTGGCTGTAAAAGAAACCACCATTATCCCAACAATGTCATCAGTATTATGATAATCATCATAAAACTAGTAAATCTATTCTAGGACATTTTCTAATATCACAAGCTATTGAAAACAACATCCAAGTGGTGACATCACGCCCTTTCCTAGAAAGAGAGTTTGTTTCCCTTTTGTAGGATTGGTAACCATGGAAAATGTAAAAAAGAGAATATCTTTCTTTCTTCCTATTTTTAATTTTCTTTATCCTCTGTTGCCTGTCTCTTCTCTCTCTCTCCCCCTGTGAGTGCCATAGTTCTTCCATTTATTGAAAGCTATTTGGTTGTATCCTTTTTGCTTACCCAAGAAGAACTCTTTTTACTGTAAGAACCTATAAATATTACTGCTATTGTTAGTTGACATCTAGTAGGCTCTTACTCAGAACAACAGGATACAATTCTGCCCAGCATATCTTCATGATCATTGGCATTCTCTAGGCCATCGTGGTTTGAGTTCATTCCAGCCTAAGTGTCTCATCTTTCAATACTGTATTGGGCAATGTTCTATTATGATCCATAGAGCTTTCATTGACTAATATTTCAGAAGTAGATAATCCATCTTTTCTTCCTAGTGTCGATGCTCTGCTCAAACCAGTCTATGCTGATTTTTGAAATACTGATGGTAGAGCTTGTAGCATCATAGTAAGCTACCACATTCTGACAAACTGACAGACCAAAACCAAAACCCATTGTCATTGAGTTGATTCCAACTCATAGCAACTGTGTATGGGGTTTCCAAGGCTGTAAATCTTTATGTGAGCAGAAAATCTCATCTTTCTCATATGAAACAGCTGGTGAATCTGAACTGCTGACCTTGTGGGTTGCAGTCCAGTATTCATCTTACAGTGCCACCAGGACTTTAAAAAGTTGGGAAGCCAAAGTTTCATTTATGTGATGTTCATGAATACACAGCCTAACTACTTGGTACCAAGCTCACTGTTTATTTTGTGTTTGTACTTTACATTCCATTCTTTATACTGCATATTTATATTTCATATACTTATTGGGATTCATCCTTGAGGAACCAAAATTGGTAAATAATAGTAAGTGAGAGAATGTGAAATTGTTGCTCACCAGAATCAGGAATTAGGACCTGATCAATCAAATGGATGACACCATTATTTGTCACAATGTCTTTTTTGTTCACCATTTTGATTCCATTTACTGTTATGCTGTCACCATCACATCCTATTTCAATTGTGTTTCCTTCCAGGGTCTCAAAGACTGCTCCACCCATGATGGCCTCAGAACACTGGAGACTATTTAAAATGTGGTATTTCATCAAAGCTGGAGAACAAGTTCAAAAGAGAAATCATTCATATCAAGGGGAATTATATTTATCCTTAAAAGGTATGTTTCATTATGGAAGTAGGTATTATGAAGAAATTTGATAAATATCTAAGATCTAAGGATTGATTGGCGTTTATAAATTTTAACTGCATAGATTTGCAGAACTTTTGTTATTTGTTGGTTTGTTTTTCATCAACTTTACAGCAGAGACAGTAGAAAGAAGTGAAGATCAGCTTTAGGAAATCATTTGAAGAGTACTGGAAAAAAGGCAGGTTTTTGTAGTAGATCAAGTTTTAGCTATGAGAATGAAGTATAATGAAACATAATGATGTGAAAGCAATAAGAACTGCTGTTTCATAAGACCTGAAAGCTATTTGCTAGTAGTAGTTGTTTGTGACTCATGGTGACCCCATTTTTTTCAGAGTAAAACAGTATTCCATGCACTTTTCAGTGGCTGTCAACTTTAGCCTGCTAGGCCTTTCTGCTGAGATGCCTCTGGGTGAATTCTAATCACCAAACTTTTGGTTAGCAGTCAACTTTGTTAACTACTTATACCACTCCTTTGATAATGATAAGTGTTCCAAAATGTCTAAGCAGTGTTTTGCAACAACTGTTCATAACAGAATATAGAAGTTGCAAGAAAGAGATACACATTTCCCAAAAGATGAAATTTAGAAAGTAACCAAAATCAAGATAATTTTTTGAATGACATTTGGAGTAATCTGTGACTCAACCGTATTATAACAACAGCTATGTCTTCAAATTTTCTCATTTAAATTGGTTAAATGCGGTTGAGACAAGTCAAGTAAGTGAAACAGCTAGACACAGTATAACATCTATTTGAGACTAGAGAGATTAGAAAGAATTCAAATTCTTCTGTATATTCATAAGTAAGGGCCCATAAGAATCATGTACTTTTCTCAACTCAAATATCCTTTATCATTAAGAATATAAAAATGTTACATAAAATGCTTACAATATAAAATGTTGATGAGTTAATACTTATTTTCATTTCTTGCTAATCTTTTTCAATGACAGTCACTTATTTACTTGAAAGCAGTACACCAAAAGAATATGATCTTTAAGATTTCCTCATCATTAAGAATTACTTGCTGTCTCCTATTTCAAGGACTAATTTTTAAGATTTATATTTTCCACCTCTGAATAAACGCTTTTCTTTGTCTTTTCTTTTCAAAGCTAATAATATTGGTACAAATGAGTCATTTTCTTTAATGCTCTTCTTTTCCTGAGATTCTAGGAGATTTCTGAGAAGAGTGTACCTTCAGAAGCCACTTTGTCACCCATGATCCTTTCTAGGACCCCTCGTGGGAGTTTCTCAAAAGCCTCATTGGTTGGAGCAAAGAGCGTGAAATGACCATCTCTTCCAAGGGTCTCCAATATATCAGATGTAATGGCAGCTGCCTGAAACACAAATGTGCAATTTAGAGGCTTGCACATTACAAATCCAAAAGATGGTAGTGTTGCGGACCGTGTAAGACTGGTCAGAGGTTCGAGGCCCTCTAGGACCGAGTGTAACAAATGAGGCCACTGGCAGTTAATGGCAAATTGCTTTCATTTTAATATTCAGTTATATATATTAAATTAATACACGGAGTCTTTGAAAATCCACAAATAAATGTGATATTTTCCTAAAGCAGAGACTAAAGGTTGCAAGGTTAAACCTTTCTCCAAAGGATTAACTAAAAATATCTTAGCTACTTCTCGGTTCTTTGTTCTATAGACAAAGAACCCATCCTCCCTAATCCCTTTTCCAGATGCAGCCCATTCACCTGGGCATCTCCTGCAGAATTCACCTTCCCCCAACTGTGCTCAGGGGCTATAGATATGTTAATTGGGCCTGAGAAACCAAGTTGCTGGCCTGGAATTCAAACCAGGGAAGTATGATGTAAAATTACCTGAATGTCTGGAAAAGTACTGATGTTAGCTGTGCCTTGCCTTGGTCCCTCCTAGTTTGGTGTGAAGCTCCTCCCCTGAATAAAGCAGAGGCCCGAGCCTCCCCAGGTGTGCATTACTGGTTGGAAGGCATGGAGTAAAGATTGCGGTGCATTACTGGTTGGAAGGCATGCAGTAAAGATTGCAGGGCAGTGAGTTGCTGCCTGCAGAGGCCACGATGCCTGTACTCCCAAGCCTGCCCACCAGTTGATGCATCCACCCTGGCTTTGGAGTGCCTCATTGTCTCCCTCCTTCTGTTTGTCTGTGTATTCTTTCGCTATCCCTATCACCGCTGGATCTCCCCTCCTCGTGAACCAAACACTCGTGAACAACACAACTATGTCGAGGGAAAACCCTGACAGATAGAATACTTAACCTAGCTTGACATTTGGAAGTCGATTATATGACTAAAAATTTTACTTTTTTTATAGATTTAAATATTCCTTTTTTGGCACAATTATCTGTATCTTCCAACTATCCCTAAAGTATGTTTTCAAGAATAGGAATTTTGCCAATGTTTGTGTGAATGTATCAATAGCCATGCAATAACTAAAATGAGCATATTCTAAATGCACTAAGTATATACAGTCACATAATTAACCATTATTTATTTATAATGTCCACATAAAAATTACCATTATATATGAAGAGATGATTTTCCTACATCAAATGAAAAAATATATATTTTAAATATATTTTTTTACATTTGCCAGATCTGTTTAATAACATTTTACTGTTCTTAGATCCACAGGAAAAGAGGAGGAATTTCATTATTTGAAGACAATTTTCTGTTACATCATATTGTTGTTGTTAAGTTCTTTTGAGTCTGTTCCCACTCATAGAAACCCTATTTAGTGTTTTCAAAGAGTGGCTGATACGCTTGAGCCACCAACCTTGCCATTCAAACCAATCTTGCAATTCAAACCAACCTTGCAGTCTAGCACATTAACCCACAGCACCACACATCTTATACTTACTCTAAAAGATGAGAGATCATCTTCTGCTTCTATGAAGTCTTGAATGGAGGTTCCAATTTGTGTAAGGACACGGTCAATAACATGTACAACACCATTTGTTGCAATCTGGTTTCCATGGATAATTCGAGCACAGTTAACGGTGACAACCTATAATTAGTTTGAGAGAATCAAGGGCAAAAATCAGAGTTGTTCAATGACCACTGGCAGTGTAAGCCCCTCACATGTACTAGTAAATGTTACATGAAGGACTTAACATTCTGTATGCTAGTGCTGAAGTAAAGACGTGTATAATGCTATGTCTTACAAAGAAGCTGCAAGAGCAAAGGAAGTCAATTGAGAACCCACTTAACATATCTGAAATCATAAAGCACAAACTTTTTTTGACTTGTTCTTTCAAAAGCAATAATCATTATATTTATTCTCTTTCTTTTATATAGATAGTGACAAGCTATTTTTTAAATGTAGTCAGTGAATTGCATAAAAATAATTAGTCCTAAAATTAATTGAGAGAGAAATAATCATAGCTTAAATAAAATCAGTTTTGTTCCAAATATTGCCTCATCATTCACCCTATTTGTCCTGGAAATTTGATTTTTGACAGAGCCCTATGATCCTCCTTTTGGCAGTTTCCCACAAAGATAAAAGAACCCTATTCGAATATTGGACTCCTGCTGTGGTGCTGTAGGATCAGCACTGACTGCAAACCACAAGGTCATCAGTACAAACCCATTAGCTTCTTTTGAGTCGGAACCAACTTGATGGCCCGTAACAGCAACAACAATCAGTAGATAAGTCAGAGGCTGAATAGTGTATATTTTCTAATTATTTTTCTGTATGAGTAGAAAAAATTGTTTAAATACACTGTTGTTGTTAGGTGCCATTGAGTTGGTCCCAACTCATAGCGACCTTATGCACTGCAGAACAAAACACTGCCCAATTCTGGGCCAGCCTCACTACTGTTGCCACACTTGAGTCCAACAATGCTGCCACTTGGCCAATCCATCTCATTGCGGGGTATTCCTCTTTTCCTCGCACCCTCCACCTTACCAAACATGATATCCTTCTCCAGTGATTGGTCCCTCCTAACAATATGCCCGAAGTATGAGAGACGAAGTTTGGCTGTCTTGGCCTCCAAGGAGTACTCTGGCTGCATTTCTTCCAAAACTGATCTATTGGTTCTTTTGGCAGCCATTGGCACTTTCAGTATTCTTCTCCAACACCATAACTCAAAAGCATCAATTTTTCTACACTCTTTCTTATTCACTGTCCAGCTTTTGCATGCATATGAGGTTATTGAAAATACCATGACTTGGGTCAGGTACACCTTAGCCCTCAAGCTGACCTCTTTGCTCCTCAACACTTTTAAAAAAAGTCTAGTGCAGCAGATTTGCCTAATGCATTACGTCATTTGATATCTTGACTGCTGCTTCTGTGAGAGTTGATAGTTGATCCAAGAAGAATGAAGTCCTTGACAACTTCAGTCTTTTCTTCGGTGATAAGAATGTTGTTTATTGGTCCAGGGGTGAGGATTTTTGTTTTCTTTACATTGAGATGTAATCCATACCGAAGGCTGTGCTCTTTCATCTTCATCAGTAAATGTTTTAAATCCTCTTCACTTTCAGCAAGCAAGGTTCTATCATCTGCATATCACAGGTTGTTAATGAGTTTTCCTCTAATCCATGTTTTTCTTCATATAACACAGCTTCTTGGATTATTTGCTCAGCATCCAAGTTGAATAAGGATGGTGAAAGAATACAACCTTGTCCCATACCTTTCTTAATTTGAAACCATTCAATGTTCCTATGTTCTGTTTGAACAACTGCCTCACGGTCCAGGTACAGATTCCTCATGAGCACAATTAAGTGTTCCGGAATATTGTTGCCCATAGCTTGTAATGATCCACACAATCAAAAGCGTTTGTGTAGTCAATAAAGCACAGGTAAACATCTTTCTGGCATTCTCTGTTTTCAGACAAGATCCGTTGGACATTAGCCAATGATATCCATTTTGACCTTTTCCTTTTTTCTTGTCTTCTTAATGACTTTTTAACTTTCTTCATGTATGATGTTCTTGATGTCATCCCATAACTCTCTGGTCTTGGTCTTTAGTGTTTAATGTATCAAATCTGTTCTTCAGACGATCTCTAAATTCAGTTGGGATATATTCAATGCCATATTTTGGCTCTCATGTACTTGTTTTCATTTCCTTCAGCTTCAGTTTGAATTTGCTTATGAGTAATTGGTGGTATGTTCCACAGTGTGCCCCTGGCCTTGTTTTCACTGATGATATGGAGCTTTTCCATTGTCTCTTTCCACAGATGTAGTCAATTTGATTTCTATGTATTCTATCTGGTGAGGTCCATGTGTACAGCCATCTAAAGAAGGTATTTGAAATGAACATTCTCCAGCATCCTTTCTATCATGCATTCTCCAGCATCCTTTCTATCACCACGGTTGTGTTTTCCAAGTACTGATCCTTCTTCTTTGTTCCCAACCTTTGCAGTCCAATCACCAGCAATGATCAATACATCTTGATTGCATGTTTGAACAATTTCAGATTGAAGAAGTTGGTAGAATTCTTCTATTTCATCCTCACTGGATTCAGTGGTTGGTGCATACATTTGAATAATAGTGGTATTAACTGGGCTTACCTTTAGGTACATGGATATTATACTATCACAGACAGTGTTGTACCTCATGACTGATCTGGATATGTTCTTTTAGACAATGAATGCAACACCATTCCTCTTCAATTTGTCTTTTCCAACATACTAAACCATATGGTCATCAGATTCAAAATGGCCAATACCAGTCCATTTCAGCTCACTAATTCCTAAGATGTCAATGTTTATGGTTTCCATTTTATTTTTTGACAACTTTCAATTTTCCCAGATTCATACTTTGTACATTCCATGTTCTGATTTTTCAATGGATGTTTACAGCTGTTTCTCTTCATTTTGAGTTGTGCCCCATCAGAAAATGAAGGTCCTGCAGGATTTTCTCACACAGGCTTTACTCGCATTCATTTAATCATTGTCAACTCTACTTTGAGGAGGCAGCTCTTCCCCAGTCGCACTTTGAGTGCCTTCCAACTTGTGGGGCTCATTTTCTGGCACTATATCTGAAAGTGTTTCTCTGCTATTCATAAGGTTTTCAGTGACTAAATATTCGGAAGTAGTTCATCACACCTACTTCCTAGTCTGTCTTCATCTGGAAGCTCATCTGTAACCTGATAAATTTCTTTTTAAAAGAATCTAAATATACTGTCAATGAATTGTTAATTTAATTATTCTTTCTCAATTGCTCTTTAGTAGTGATCAATCACTGAATTATAAATTTAAATGTCATAAATTTGGAGAAAAGTGATGATGTGCACTTCTATGTTCTCACTACATTTATAATTTCTTGGAACATTATATACAAGTTTCAAAACTTAGAAACAGTTAATTCAGAAATGCAATTTATATTATTTAAACTTACCCCATTAGGATAATGATTAATGAAAAGCCCCAAATTGTTATACATCGAAGGAACGACCATGCCATTTTTCAAGTCCTTGGTCAACATTCTCTTATTGACCATGTGGCTATGTAAAGCATTCAATAATTCAACATTAACGTTGCTCTCCAAACCCCTACGGATATCCTAGAGAAAAAGAAAGTGATAGAAGTTAACTTTCTTGTGATTAATTATTAAAGTTCTTAGAATTACATGATTTTTTATTCTCCTATCAGTTAATCTCCTTAGAAACCAGCTTGGAACCAGGTTGGAACTGGCTCAACGGCACTTAACAACATCCCTTAATCATTTTATTTTTCTGTTTTTATTTTTGTTTCATTGCATTTTGACATAAATAGCTCAGAGTTATATTACTTCAATGGAATAAGGGAATTTTTAAAAAATCAGGTACTCAGTTACAAAAATAATGAGTCTAATCAAGTATTAGGTATTATTTGGGGCACACAATCTTATTAAACAAGAGTACTGATGAGGAGACAATCTTGATATTAATTTAAAGCTTAGGGAGATATGAAATTATCAGGTATGCAAAATACCTTTGAGTGGTAAATAAAACAAAGATGACATTTTATTTATGTATAATAATTTGTTTTTTAAAAATATTTTGTATTTATTTTATAATGGATACAAAATTCAATCATTCTATAAATTTTGATCTATTCACCTCTGGTAGCATAGTGGTTACAAATCAGTCTGTGAACCACAAGGTCAGCAGTTCAAAACTACTGGCTGTTCCACGGGAGAAAGATGAGGTTTTCTGCTCCCATAAATATTTATGTCCTCAGAAACCCTGTACAGGGTCACTATGAGTTGGAACCAACTCCACGGCACATAACAACATCAGCAACAACAACAACAATACCATATAATATATGCTACTGCACTGGAAACTACAGTAAATACAATAAGGAAGATAAAGCATGTGTCTCTAAGGTGCTTATCATATAGCAGCAGATAAATAAGCATAATAAGATATTGATTGAAAGAGAGAAAAAAAAACCTTTCAGCAGTAAAATGAGAAAGCCCTAGTCTTCTTAAAGTACTTTTGGAAATAAACATTGAAGAGTAGGTAGGATTTAAACAGGTGGGAATGTAGTGAATATCATTCCATGTACAGTTACTGCTATATGGTGAGTATTGGGAGGTCAAAAATTGTCCAGTTTGATCTTATTTTTTTGTATCATTGAGTAATTTCCAGTGCATAGTAACCCTATGTATAAGAGAACAAAACACTGACCAATCTTGTGCCACTCTCACAATAATTGCTATGTTGCCCATTGTTGCAGCCACCATGCCAGTCCATCTCATTGCAAAGATTCCTCTTTTACACTGATCCTTTACTTTACTAAGTGTGATGTTTTCCATGGAATGTTGTCTCTCCAAATAGCATGTCCAAAGTACATGAGATTAAGTTTCACCATCTTCACTTCTAAAGGTTATCCTATCAGTACTTATTTAAAGTTATAGGTGTTCATTTATCTGGCTTATATAGTCACAAGAGACCTCAACAATTTCATAGAAAAATCCCATTATCTTTTAATTCAATTTCTCCATGAACTTTTTGAAGCCCTCTCTTAAGGATTTAAATAAAGGAAAAGGTTAACGCAGTTGTAGAGTCTGGCAAGTCATTTCTCTTAACTCACATAACCATGGAGGCTGAAAGTCCAAATATTGGCAGTTCAGACAGCAGGCTGCTCTCTCACAAGCTGCAGTGACTGGTGAACCAAAGATCAGCAGGCAAGATTATAGGCTGTTGGCTCATGGGTTGCAGAAGCTAATGGAACCCAAAATAAGCTATACATCTGGCCATTTCCTCATGTCCAAAGAACTGGCAGAGGTCAGAAGATGACAAGTAAAACGCTGGATTCAGATCAAGCAAAAGAAAAAGCACTTTGACAGATCAGTCATATTTCTTGGAAACAGACCATAATCTTGAGGAAACTCCATTTCAATGGATTGACTTATCATAGTAGATCTTATCATGAAAGTGATTATATCAACTCTCATTATGGATGGAAAAAAAGTTACAAACTTTATATGGAAAAGAACAAGACTCTGTATAAGCAAAACACTGCTTATCAAGAAGAACAAAGTTGAAAACCCCTCACTCCCTGATTTCAAAATTTACTATATGGCTGCAGTGGTCAAAACAGTGTGCTACTGGTACAATGAAAGATACATAGATCAATATAATAAAATTGAGAATCCAGAAATTAACTGATCCACATACAGCAAACTGATCTTTGAAAAAAGAGCCAAAGTACATCGAATGGGGAGGACCTAGACTCTTCCACAGATGGTGCTGGCAAAATTGGAAACCGATATGCAAAAGATAAAACAAGACCTTTACCTAATACCATATACAAACACCAACTGAGCATGGATTAAAGACCTAATTGTGAATCCCAGAATTATAAAGGCTATCAATGAAAAAATAGGGAAAATTTGAGGGCATAAACAGACTACAAACATTGTGAAAATTACACAGACAAAAGAAGACAAAATAGACTATTGGGACATATTAAAAATTAGAAACTTATGTGCATCAAAAGACTTCACAAAAAGTGTAAAAATGGAACCAACAGAATGGGAAAAATTCTTTTGCAACAGCGTATCACACAAAGCACTAATTTCTAAAATCTATAGGAAACTACAACACCTCTAAAGACAATTAAAAATTGGCACAGAACATGAAAAGACACTTCACCAAGGAAGGCATTCAGGCAGTCAACATACATATGAAGAAATATTCATGATCATTAGCATTAGATAGATGTAAATCAAAACAACAATGAGATATCATCTCACACAAGCAATAACAGCTAAGTTCAGAAAAGTAGAGAACAATGCTGTCAAGGATGTGAAGAGACTGGGACCCTCTGTTATTGGGAATGCAAAATGGCCTGGAACATAACATGGTGTTTCCTCAGAAAGTTGAAAATAGAAATATCTTATGATCCAGCAATTCCTCTACTTGATATGTATCCACAAGAAACATGAGCCATAACATGAGTAGATACATGCTCACCAAAGTCCATAGCATCACTATACACAATAGCAAAAAGATAGAGATATCCTAAGTACTCATAAATGGAAGAATGGATAAACAAATTTTGGTTCATATACACAATGAAATATTATGCTACCTCAAAGAATAACAAGGAAGCTGCAAGTCACAGCATAACATGCATGAACCTTGAGAACATTATGCTGAGTGAAATTAGTCAGTCTCAAAAGGACAAATATTGTATAAGACCATTATTGTAAAAGCTTAAGAAAAGACACCCATACTAAAAGGAAAAAAAACAAAAACACTTTGTTGTTTACCAGGAGGTGAGGGATGGTAGAGCAGAGGTAGGGGATAGATATACCATAGTTCAGATGTTGGTGAAGGCAATACATAAGAAGGGGAATGGGAATTGAAGAACAGGTGGATAGGGGGACACTGAGGCAGGTTTGCATGAGCTAAATATGGCAGAGGTAAATAGTGATGTATGTTCAACTTTGGAACAACAGGGCTCTGTGATAAGGCATGGTATGAATGGGTAAAAGAAGGGGAATGATGTTAAGATGCTTCACTGTCTTATGAATATTGTTTTCCCTTGCCTACTATTGCAAACTAGACACTTGAGTGGGATAGAAAGTAATATTGGGAAACATGATTACAGAAAGCTTGTAAGCCTGTCTTCAGCCTATAACTAATTTGAATACCTAAAAGGGGTTTTAGAGTGTGCCCAGTGAAATAGGCTTACTGCACAGTCTTTGTCGAGAAGAAATATAAAAATCAAAGTCTTCAGTTTTGCAACTTATCACATGACTGTAACTGGAACTTAGAACAACTTTTTTTTTAACCACTCATTCTATATCACCTATTGCCTTAAGTGAGCACCTCAACTGGCCTTTGTTAATATGGTATACCATGATGATGAACAAGGCACTCTGTAAATCCACAAATTGTAGTTTTGATGGAAGCATTCCATCTATGCAGTTCAAATCCATATACAGATTATATGTCTATACTAGTAAGAACAAAACGTTGCCCTTTCCATGATGAAAGTGGTCCAATGTAATCAACCTGCACCAGGTTTCTGGCTGATCACCAAAATGAATGGTTCCAAATCACAGACTCCAAATGGTTCCAAATCACAGTGCTGGTTTCTACTACTGACAGATTGGGCACTTAACAATGACTGCAGCCAAGACAGCTTGGTGAGTAGAGGCCTAGACATAAGCTCCATATCTGCCACCATAGCCACTTTGATTATGAGCCCCTTAGGCAAAGGCATGAATGTCTGGGGAAATAGGATGACTGGTTAATACAAGATGAGTCATCACATCCACTTGATTTTTTTCCTCTGCTAAGGTTACACTTTGGGGAGCATTACTTAACACACAAATACATTCTCTTCTTTGGCCCAGTCAGAAAAGACATACCTTTTCTCTACATTTGCTTATCAACAATTTTCGAACCACGTCCCTGATCAGCCCTTGAAATCATTGGCCACAGCTCATTAATTAGTATTTAATTGCATTGCTGGCCATTTCTCCTTCCAAGCAAAGTGAACAACCAGGTACACTGCTCAGAATTCTAGGATTTTCCTTTACCACTATCCTTCAAAAAGGTCACAAAAAGGGGCTGCAGTGCTTCAGAATCATTTGTAAACCAAACCTATGAGCAGTCATGTATATCAACCAGGCATTAGTTGTTTTTTAAAAAATTATTTTTTACTCAATTCCCTCTTATGATATGCGTACTACAAGAAAGAAGGTAATGTGACAGAAGTTAAAAGCATCGGCATCTGGGCCATTTTCTAATGCAATTTACTTGTTTCTTCATGTCTTCCTTGAACCCAATACCATAATAATTTGTTGTTGTTGTTATGTGCTGTGGAGTTGGTTCTGACTCATAGCAACCTTGTCCAGGTTTTCCGAGTTTGTAAATCTTTATGGGAGCAGAAAGCCTCATCTTTCTCCCAAAGAACAGCTGGTAGTTTCAAACTACTGACTGTGAGGTTAGTAGCCTGATTCATAACCACTACGCTACCAGAGCTCCTTAATAATACTCCATAATAATACTACCATCTAAAATGATGGCATGCTGTTATACATTGTAAACATGTATATATGTTATACATGTTCATCTTTTTGACTTTATGGGCAAGAAAACACCCAACTCAGGAAACATAGTGACTTGATGGTCCATGGTTAAGTATGCAGTCTCTATTAATACCTGGTAACAGGCCAAATGCTGTTTCTTACAAGGGCAGCAGTTATCTGCCAAGGATGACAGGGCTTTGCTCTAAAATCCTATAGGTATGCACTGTGATTTACCAATAGGGGCCTGACAAAGACTCCAAACTGCATTTCTGTCTGTCAATGACACTTCAAGCAACATTGGATCCACTGAATCATATGGCCCAAGTGGCAGAGCAGCGTGCATGGAAGCCTGAACCTTGTGCAGAGCCTTCTTCTGTTTTGGACTCCACTCAAAACTGGCAGCTTTTAAATTCGCTTAACAAAGATGTCAGAGTAGCAGAGCCAATTGAGGGATATGATGTCTCAGTATTATTAGATTCCAGTTGTTGTTGTTGTTGTTGTGTGCCATCGAGTCGGTTCCGACCCATAGCGACCCTGTATAGATTCCAGTAGTAATTATCTAATTGTCTTAAAATAAAGTAGAAGACAGATTTTATAGATTTGCAACTGAGTCATCATTTAATATGCTATAAATCAACCTACAGTCATGTAGGTTAAACACTGTTAACCACAAGGTTGGTGGATCAACCCCACCAGCCATTACATCCATGGAAACCATATCCAGGGTCACTATAAGCTAGAACCGACTCAGTAAAAAATCTACCTATGAAAGAAATACCTGAAAATCAAATGTTCCATGTATGATTTCACTTAAATCTTCACACACAAGTTCTTAAATCCATCCATCTGGTAGCGTAGTGGTTACGAATCGGGCTGCGAACCTTAAGGTCAGCGGTTCGAAACTACCAGCCGCTCCGCGGGAGAAAGATGAGGCTTTCTACTCCCGTAAGGATTTACACCCTCGGAAACCCTGTACAGGGTCGCTATGGGTCGGAACCGACTCGACGGCACTTAACAACAACAACAACATATATATTAACACAAATCAGAATACATAATTAAATATGTCTATACAATATAGCTCAAAGAGCTCTGGTAGCATAGTGGTTATGAGTTGGGATGTTAACCTCAAGGTCAGCAGTTTGAAACTCTCAGTGGTTCCGTGAGAGAAAGATGAGGCTTTCTGCTTCTGTAGAAATTCTGTAGAGATTCACAGCCTTGGAAACCCTATACCAGGTCACTATAAGTTGAAACAAACTCCACGGCACATAACCACTACCATCACCATGTACTATAGCTCTGGTAGTATAGTGGGTTAAGTGTTAGACTGCTAATTGCAAGGTTGGCACTGCAAACTCAGAAACCATGCTACTAGGGAAAAAAGAGACTGTTTGTTCCTACAAAGATTTACTGACTCAGAAACCTGATAGATCTTTCTACTTTGTCCTGTAGGGTCTCTATGAGTTGGAATTAACTGAATGGCAGAGATTTTGGTTTTGGGGTTTTGTATATAATACATCTTACCATTAATTTTTAAACTCTAGTATTTTCTGATCTTTCTATATGTCCTGTACCATTACATATATTTATTCACAACAAAAACAAATACAGAGGAAAGGAGTAAAGTAAGATAATAAGTGACTTTTTAGTATACTCTTGCTTGCCTTTATTTTATTAGTCTATGAGCCTGCTGGAGAATTATTTTATTTATGGATTGTATCCTCCCGTCCCCTAGTAACATATTCTCAAAGACAAGTACAATTGTTAAGTGCCATCCAGTCTGTTCTGACTCAGAGCGACCATGTATAGTTTTTCTGAGGCTTTAAATCTTCATAGGAGCAGAAAGCCTCATCTTTCTACCCTGGAGCCACAGGCATACTCAAACCATAGACCTTTTGGTTTCCAGTACTTATCTTATGGAGCCACTGTGCTCCCCATAAACACAGTAAGAAGAAATAAAGTTCTCAATAATATTTTCTAATAAATAAATTAAAATGACACAATAACATCGATAAAACTAGTTATGAGAATAATCATAGTTACCGAATCCAAGCTCTCCCAAGCTTCATTACTTGGTGCAAAGTAGGTGAATGATCCCTTTCCTTCAATTTCTTCCCTCAATTTGGAGACATCAGAATAATGCTGTGTTGTGGTGGCTCCCACAATGCCCAGAGTACCATAAACATGGTCAATTGGCATAACTGAAATAATCAAAACATTAATAAGTATATAGGATAATATTTACAGAAAATTATACCACAGTCATTTAAACTCCATACATTTTTTATTGTATTGAAATACTTTGCTTGGATCAATATTAACACTTATGGAAGTATCTGTCAAGAAATTAAATGATGTATTGCATTAGGCAAATATGCCACACAAGACCTCTTTAAAGTGTTCAAGAGCAAAGATATCAGCTTGAAGACTAAGATGTGCCTGACCTAAGTCGTGGTATATTAAATAGCTTCATATGCATGGGAAAGCTGGAAAATGAAAAAGGAACACCATAAAAGAATGCTGCATTTGAGTTATGGCATTGTAGAAAAATATTGAAAGCACTACGTACTTCCAGAAGAACAAACAAATCTGTATTAGAAGGACCACAAGAATTCTATTGAGAGGCTGGATTGGCAAAACTTGTCTTTCATACTTCCTACATGCTATCAGGAGGGACCAGTCCATGGAGAAGGATATCATGCTTGGTGAAGTAGAGTGTCAGAGAAAACAATGACGAGTCCCAAGGAAATGGATGGACATAGTGGCATCTGCAATGGGCTCAAACATAACAGTTGTGAGGGTGGTTCAGGACCATGCAGTGTTTCATTCTGTTGTGCATAGGGTCTGTTGTGCATAAGTGTCATTGAATCAGAACTGATGCGATGACATCTACAGAACTGATGCAATAAAACCTAACAACAACAAATTTCAATAAATTTAATTGACATTTAGTATTTAAAGTACATGAAAGTTGCCATTGATGGTGAAATATTAAAATCTAGTAAAAGACTCATTTAATATACCTTTCATTTTGAGAGAAAATATATTTTCACTTATCATCCTGAAGTAATCTATTTATATCTGAATTTTGATATGTCAATTATCATAAATATCTCATCATTTGTTTGAAAAATGAAAAGGTGCTTTTAACTTCTCACTGAGAATGGCAAAGGCAACAATTTCATTAGTGTTGGCATGATATGCTTTAATTGTATGATACTGTTAGGTATGTTGTTGTTAAGTGCTATCAAGTGAAGTTAAACTCATAACAACCCTTTATAGGTTTTTTGAGGAGTGGCTGGTGGATTTGAACTTCTGACTTTCTGGTTAGCAATGCATTGCTTTACCTACAGTGCCACACTAGGACTCCCTGTTCAGTATAGGGATATAAATTTTAAAGCTTTGGATCCATAACATAAGTATTTAGACCTGTTTCTTTTCATCATGTTGTCTGGAAGAAACTAGATCAAAGTTGCCAGTACTTCCAGAATATCTGTTCTGTACTTCAGGAAATGTTTAATGTATTAATATCTGCTCCAGGAGATATCCATGGTATGGTCCAAACAACTTACTTTTGACTCTGACATTATAATATTTGAAAATGGGTATGATTTGAATAATGTTTTGAGAGGGATTACTTATTTGTGAATACCCCAGACTAGCTGAGGCAACTAAAAATTATAAGATCAGAATTTTAAAAGACCTCAAAAGAATGAGGAAAACAACGTAAAACTAATATGTAACTTAAGACCTAAATTTAAGTACTAAAAAGATCTAACTGGATTATGTAGTCGTTAAGTGCCATCAAGTCAGTTCTGACTCATACTTACCCTAGATAGTATTTCTAAGGAGAGGCTGGTTAGTTTGAACTGTCAACCTCGTGGTTCAAACCAACCTTGTGGTACAGTAGTTATTTTACAATGCCACACCAGGACTTAGTAATATTCATGTTTAAAAAGACCTATAGTTAAATTTCCTATATAAGCTAATAATAGCTATACTATAAATTATAAGCTAATAATTTACTATATAAGCTAATAATGTTATCAATGGCATGAACAAAGTGTGTGTATATGTATGTGCATGTAAAGTTGAAAAGTTGAAAGAAAGAAATGTGTGTTAATTACTGTTAGGTATTTGAAAGGTTGTTATTTCAAAGAGAAAATAGATGAACCTCTTTTTTCCTCTCTATTTGGCAGTATTATAAGTAAAACTTCAATATGGTGGTGGTGGTGGTTGTGTGCCTCTGTATCAGTTCTGGCACATAGCATCCTTGGATAGGGTTTCTGAGGCTGTAAGTCTTTGCATGAGCAGAAAGTTGCATCTTTCTCATACAAAGCAGCTGGTCATTTCAAACTACTGACCTTTTGATTAGCAGCCCATCTTGTAATCCACTACACTACAGGGGTCTTTAAATTTCAATATAAAAAATAATATGTAAACTATATTTCAACTATAGAAAATAATCTCTTGCCAAGCAGCAGCTAATTGTTTCTAACCAAGTTCAAATACACATATCTCATAAGAAGGTTTTCTATTCTTGAAGGAAAGTTGAACAAATTTAAATTTCTGACTGATTATGCCAGTTGTATTGACCAGCATCTAGAGTTAAAGCAATGTTTTAATATTTTGTTACCATAATTTTGTCACCATATATTTTTTATTAACCCATCATGTGTGGAAATAGATCTTGGATTTATCATGGTGCCAACCACACACACATACACACACAATTGACTTCTCCAAAGCTACCTAAATATTTTTCCTTCAATAAAACAAGTTCCTATTTAATTCAGTAATTGAGGTATTACCTGCTGGACAGCCTTTCATTCCTTCCATTCTCATATAACCAGGGCAACATTCATATAATACAGTCCTGTAAGTTGGAATAAAGTTGATATTAAAATAGGGAACAAAATAGGATATTTTTGACATTGTTTTACCTAAATTTATCATTTATTGCCATAATTTTTTTATTGAGAGTCTATAAATCAGGAATTTTGCTTTTTTAATGATGCTAAGATATTCAAATTAGTTTAATTTCTCTCTACAGTGTCAAATCATTGTGGGAGAAGTTTCAAGATCTAGAGCCAGAAAACTGGAGTCTAGGTCTCAGCTCTGCAACTTGATAGATATATGACTTGAGCAAGTCATTTAGTTAATTTGGACCTTTGTTTACACAAATATTTGACATAGCTATAGTAACTACAATACCTGTACATATGAATGTAGTGTACATAAGAATCTCAAAATGATGCATTTGTAATAATTTGAAGCTACAAGTATCTAGAAATTTTAATTAATAGGATTTTAGATACATCAGAAAGTACACTAAACCATTTCATGTAGATGAAATGTTGCTAATTAAGATAAATAATACTATTTTGATTTGAATTAACTTTATCAGATTATAGAATACCTTTAAAAGCTTCTATTGATTTTTATAAACAATTTGAATAAACAATTTAAATAAATTTCTTTGAGATATTAAAGTACAATATTCTAGAAAACATTATTTTTAATCCAGAGTCTAAATTAAAGTAATTGCCTGATTGCAATTACTTTAAGTAAAACAGTGTATTCAAAAGGAAATTTGAATACAAATTCAAATCTGTTTTTTGTAAGTGCCATGGAGTCAGTTCTGACTCATACAACCCTCTGTAGGGTTACCAAAGAGTAGTTGGTGGGTTTGAACCAGTGACCTTGCAGTTAGCAGTCCAGTGCTTATCCTACAGCATCACACCAGGACTCCAAAGCTACAGAGTACTATACTGCTGGACCAATCTATATTGTGAATAATATAGCAAAGTTTTAGGTTTTTCATTTGACTTGCCCAGTTTGCTTCCCAAGATCTCCAAAGAAACTGTTCAACCAGTTGTGCACTGATTTCTGTTAATAGATACCTAGAGTCCTAAAGATGGTGCTGGAAATTTTAGCAGCTACAAGTCGGTGATAAACAGGAATTCTTACTGTCAATGTTATTGATTTATTAGGCAACTAGAAGCTACCATTTGTATCTGTTTCAAAGCATAGATGTAAATTTGTGATTGAAACTACTTAAGGAAAATAAGCAAAATATACTTGAACAAAGGACATTGTAGTATTTGTGGTAAAAATCAGGCTTCTGAATAGGAATTTTTTCTTTAAATGGAAAACAAGAAAGTTTCTTGGTGTAGGCTTTGCACAAGTATTGGCATCTCAACTATATTTAGTTAAAGGAAGATTATACAACACCTCTCTAATTGCTAAGCAGGATGCAATAAAAGTGTCCTCTAAATATTTCAGAGAGTAAGACCTTCTTATCTAATTAGTTTATAATTCAAAATTTGTCTCCTATTATTCAAGTGACTAAAACATTTAGAAATGGTTAGTTGTCAAGAATAGCTGTACAAGACAGTAACAATAATTGTCATTAAATTATCACATAAAAATGGTTGAAATAATAAATATTTGTTATATACATTTCACCACAACATTCTTTTTTGAAGATCACTGAAAACATATTAAGCCAATAGAAGTGAATGAGCATGTGATAAAAGTCTAAGGAGTTGTTGAACATGAGAGTTAGAGTCAGGTTAATGCTATATACCTTATGTGAATCATTCTTATTTGGAAGTAATAGTAATCCTATGCATTTATATATTTGTTTACATTTGTTTACAATCACTTAATTAAAAGCACAATTGTTACGGTAATTATAGTAATTTAGTGATTTAATATTCATTATTTATTTTTTCCTTCTAAATTCTATAACATAGGTATTACATCTGTTTTTAGCAGATTAAGAAACAAAAGTACTTTAAGGTTAAAAGATTCTATAATTAGTAGTAATAATAATATTATTATCTTGAAAGCATATTTTGAATTATCTTCTAATCCCTTCATCTATTTCATACCCTCTGGTTCTCAAAGTACTCCTCATATAGGGGTGGGTCCAAAGACAGAGGAGCAGAGAGAAGCCATTTTGATTTATTTCTTGACTGTGAATGATACATGTAACCTTTCTGTTTGAGAAACTAATCTTAGATAATGCTCTACTCTATCACTGTTAAATGAAAGATTTGGACCACATGAATAATTCACAACCTTCATGTGCTCTAGATTGTATTTCTTCCCCACAAGCATTTATTAGTATGTAAAATAAAAAGACATGTTTATTAGGTAAAAAAATAATGTTTTCAAATCTAATTAATTGATGAAATTTATAATTTATATTAAATTATATGAGGGCAAAGAAAAAAAATTATTGTTACAAAATCACAGAAATATTTATTAAACAAAAGCATCCAAATGAGAAGGTGGGCCTTGATGGCCGATAGGGTAGAGGTGCAGTGAAGATCTCCATCAGCAATACCACAGAATACCAGGCAAAGTGGGTTCAGGGGAGAGCTCCAAAATGCTGAACCACATATGTAGGATTATTTTTAAAGTTTGAAGGCTTATAGCTAGTGGAACTTGTAGTGGAAGTAAGAAATCTCATGTTTTAGAATCTGCCAGGCTCAGGGGCCCAGAGCTGACAACTTGGGTGAGACCAAACAGCAAGACCAGTTGGGGGAGCAAGCAGACGTGCCACAAACAAGTGCCTGCAGGGACCTCAGAGCAAAGGTGACAAAATTCTCTTGTTGACTTGGTTTTGTTCTGATTTTGTTTTGTTTTTTTTGGTATCCGTTCATTGGCTTCTAGCTGTCTGCACACCTCCATTCTGGTAACTAGAGGGGGGCACCTGAATGAGTGGACACCCGTCTCCTCCACCACTGGAGGGTGCTTCCACCACACATGCACACAGATCCTCTCAGCATCTAAGAACTGTTTGCTTGCTAGTTAAGTACCGTGGAGTTGGTTCCAACTCATAGTGACCCTGAGCAGGGTTTCCAAGGCTGTGGAACTTTTTGGAAGCAGAGAGCTTTGTCTTTATCCTGTGGAACAGCTGGTGGTTTTGAGATGACGACCTTGAGGTTGGCAGTCCAATTCGTGACCACTGTGCTACCAGCAGGCCACTCAAAATGGCCACAGCCAATCCTGAACTGTTTATTAATAGGGAAAAGGCCAAAACAAGGGATGTGGAGAGGGAGAGAGTTTAAAAACAAAACAGGCCAGAAATTAAATCCTGAGGTACAGCATACCAACCAACAGTGGAATCTTGAAATTTATCAGACAGCTTAAAGGTAAGAATATGAAAGAGGACATTGAAGTCATACTCATATTACTCATATTAGATTATGGATTTTTTTTTTTCTCCTTCTTTTTCACCTTTCCCTTTTCTGTGATTATAGACTACAGCATCCAATCTGTTGTTTTTGTTTTGTTTTGTTTTTGTTTTTTGGGTGCTTGTTTTTGTTTTTTTTTCCCCTTTGCTTTTTATTTTTATTATCTCTTTTGTTTAGTTTTTGTTCCCCCTTTTACTTTTAGGGGGCTCTTTCTCTCCCTATACTACCCAAGAAGAGACAGCAATTATTGCCATATAGTCAAGATACAATCACACCCTATAAAACTTCACAATCCAAACAAGAACCAATACCAACTGCCATACACTAGAGTGGAAAACAACTCTTACTATAAGTTAAGTTAAAAGCAAAACTTACTATAAAGCAAAACTTACTATAAGTTAAGCAATAAGAAGAGTGAAAAGGGAAGCCCACCTCCTGATCGCATATACCTGGAGGCAATCAGAAAGCATGAAAAATACCAAAATGTGCAATTAAGTATTAGGGCGACAGCTAAACACTAAACACGCCCAAGAAGCAAAAACAGATGACCATATAAGCATATGTCCAGAAGCAAGATAAAATGTCTGAGACAAATGACCTAGAGGAAGACCTGGACTACATTCTGGAAGGAGGGCAGGCCTTGGAAATGCCTGAGAAGGAATTCAGAAAAATGATTATAAAATGTTTCAAAATACTTTACAATGGAGTTGAGAAAAATAAGGAAGAAGTCAGGAAAGCACTATAGGAACAATCAAATAAGATAGATACAGCACTGGAAGCAATTCAAAACCTACAGAAAGACATTCAAATGATTAATGATAGAATAACAGAAATAGACAATACACCGAAAGCACAAAGGAGTAGAATTGAAGAGATGGAAGTCAGAACTAGTGAACTAGTGAACAAATTTCTCAATATCACTAAGATAGAAGAGCAAGCAGAAAAAAGGATAAAAAAAATTCCAATAAGTTCTTAGATTCATGTTGGAAAACATGAAGAGGAATAATTTAAGAATTATTGGCATTCTGGAACAAGAAGACTCACACAAGTCCACAGAGGAGATACTTGAAGAGCTGCTGGAAGAAAATTTCTTTAACATATGGAAATGTGAACAGATAAGCTTTCAAGAAGCTCAACAAACCCCAGGAAGAATAGATCCCAAAAGTAAATCACTGAGACATATTATAATCAAGCTATCCAAAATCAAAGATAAGGACAGAATCTTGAAAGCAGCTAGGGAAAAGAGAAGTGTAACATACAAAGGCAAGCAAATAAGATTAAGCTTGGATTTCTCAGAAGAAACCAGGCAGGCAAGAAGGCAATGGAGAGACATATATTAACTCCTGAAAGGAAAAAAAACTGCCAACCAAGAATCCTTTATACAGCAAAGCTATCAATCAAATATGATGGTGTAATCAAAACATTCCAGGATAAACAGAAGCTAAGGGGTTTTGCCAAAACCAACCCTGTGCTGCAAAACATCCTAAAGGGAGTTCTGTGGACTGAGAAACAACAAGAACAGACAACAAACAGAAATTGACATATGTGACAGCAACTCCCAGAAGTAAATCAACAGATGGAAGAGTCGAGAACAGAACAAAACTCTGAGAACAAACCCAGAGAATCTGGGAGGTCAGTCTATGATCAAAACAAATACAATGTGAAAGAA